ATTGACTCAGAAGTCCATACTCATACTCTTTAATTTCTCCATCTCTGCCAGCCTGAGGGACATTGTAGAACATGTAAACTGGAATAAAGCGGAACTCAGGCTGGGTGCAGTTGTGGTTCACACCTGTAATCCCAGTGCTTTGGGAGGCCCTGACTTCGAGACCAACCTGGGCAAAATAGTGAGACCCCCATCTCTACAAAAAACAAAAAAATTAGCCAGGCATGGTGGTGCACACCTGTAGTCCCAGCTACTCAGGTGAGAGGACTGCTTAAGCCCAGGAGTTTTAGGCTGCAGTGAACCATGATCATGCCACTGCACTCCAGCCTGGGTGAGAGAAAGACCCTGTGTCTTTAAAAAAAAAAAAGCTGAACTCTTAGTCCTTCTCGTTTAAGGAAGTCAGACAATTAAGCTATAATCACTGTCTTCCAACAGCCTTGGAAGATCATTCTGAGTTATATAAATGCAGGAATATGAGTACCAGAAACAGAAGTCACTGGAGCTTCAAACACTAGACACCACCCCCCACCCCTAAACACCCACAGTACATTTAGTAAAATAAAACCTAGTCACACTGGCTTACTTCAGAATAAATAGAAATCCCAAAGAGAAAAAATAAACATTAATTGTCTGGATACTTTTTTTTTTTTTTTTTTTTTTTTTTTTTTGAGATGGAGTCTTGCTCTGTTGCCCAAGCTGGAGTGCAGTGGCATGATCTCAGCTCACTGCAACCTGTGCCTCCCGGGTTCAAGCGATTCTCCTGCCTCAGCCTCCCTAGTAGCTGGGATTACAGGCGCACACCACACCCAGCTAATTTTTATATTTTTAGTAGAGATGAGGGTTTGCCGTGTCGGCCAGGCTGGTCTTGAACTCCCGACCTCGGGTGATCCACCCACCTTGGCCTCCCGAAGTGCTGGAATTACAGGTGTGAGCCACTGCTCCCAGCCAATTATCTGGATACTTTCAGATCATATTTCTGCTAGCTCCCTGAAATACAAGTTGTCTATAAAGTAATGCTATTTGACGTACTTTCACTTTATTTTTTTTTTTTGAGACAGGGTCTCACCTGTCACCCAGGCTAGAGTGCAGTGATGTGTTCTCAGCTCACTGCAACCTCCGCCTCCTGGGTTCAAGCGATTCTCATGCCTCAGCCACCCAAGTAGCTGAGATTACAGATGTGTGCCACCACACCCAGCTAATTTTTATATTTTTAGTAGAGACAGAGTTTTACCACGTTGGCCAGGCTGGTCTCGAATGCCTGACCTCAAGTGGTCCACCTGCCTCAGCCTCCCAGAATGCTGGGATTACAGGCGTGAGCCACCATGTCCAACCAAACATTCACATTAGAATTGTTGCCTTCAGAGTAAATCACTTGCCATGCTGCTAAAGTTTGTGAGATCTTTTAAGCTCTTTCTGAAGTTTGAGTATTTGCACTTGAGTGAATAGTTTTTAGAAATCAAATTATATAGAACCAATGTGGTATACACAGCAGTTTCCTGGCTTAATACTGGTTTTGATCAACTCTAAACCTAACAAGTAATTTATGTTTGTGGCTCTGGCTTATAAACTGGCTCTCAAGTCCTTTGCCAAGAATACATGCTAGGTGTTTGTGCTGCCTTAATCTTTTAGAAAAGAACGAGAAATGGCAGTCAGAAATGCTTTGACAAATTAGGGGCATTGGAAGAATAAGGGTGTAGCTTCCCAAAGTGACCTTTTCTAGGTGGCAAACATGCATTCTTGCACTTTTACAAAAGTAACACCTTATTTTATATTCTGAACGTTCTGGATTAATGTGGTTTCTGCTTTCCTGTAATACAGTAAATCACTCCATGGTAGAATTCAATTTACTTCTCTATTTTGCAGAAGTACAGTCCATCCAGCGTCTCCTCCCCTGCTTTGTACTCGAGAAGATGTTGAAGTGGCAGAGTCTCCCCTCCGTGTTCTGGCTGAAACCCCAGATTCCTTTGAAAAGCATATTAGAAGCATTTTGCAACGTAGTGTTGCCAATCCAGCATTTTTGAAGTATGCAACCTTGGGCATAGCAGTTTTATGAATGGGTTCTCTTCTGTCTTCATAATTATTGTGCATCCTTTCTGTCCTCATCTGTTTCATACACTTTTTACTGTGATGGATTTGGAAGAAACTGGATATATTTAATCAGCTAGTGAATGGGGAACAGGGGGGAAGTGGCACCTGAGAATGATAAACAGGAAGTGTTTAAAAAGAAGTTAGGCTGGGCCAGGCGTGGTGGCTCACGCCTGTAATCCCAGCACGTTGGGAGGCCAAGATGGGCGGATCATGAGGTTAGGAGATCGAGACCATCCTGGCTAACACAGCAAAACCCCATCTCTACTAAAAATACAAAAAAAAATTAGCTGGGTGTGGTGGCATGCGCCTGTAGTCCCAGCTACTTGGGAGGCTGAGGCAAGAGAATAACTTGAACCTGGGAGGCAGAGGTTGCAGTGAGCCGAGATCACACCACTGCACTCCAGCCTGGGTGACAGAGCAAGACTTTGTCCCAAAAGTTAGGCCGGGCACGGTGGCTCACAGCTGTAATCCCAGCACTTTGGGAGGCCGAGGCAGGCAGATCACCTGAGGTCAGGAGTTGAAGACCAGCCTGGCCAACACGGTGAAACCCCATCTCTACTAAAAATGCAATAATTAGCCAGGTGGGGTGGTGGACACCTGTAATCCCAGCTACTCGGGAGGCTGAGGCAGGAGAATCGCTTGAACCTGGGAGGCGGAGGTTGCAGTGAGCCGAGATAGCACCACTGCACTCCAGCCTGGGTGACAGAGCGAGACTCCATTTCAAAAAAATAAATTAAAAATATAAGAAGTTTACAAAGCACCTGTGACTTGAGTCTATTTTCAGTTGTTTTACTCAGCTAAGGAAAATAAAGGTAGAAACTTTGTTTTTAAGAGCTTCTGAAAAGGACCTAGCCCCTCCTCCTGAAGAATGCCTTCAGCTCCTCAGCAGAGCCACCCAGGTGTTCAGAGAGCAGTACATTCTCAAACAGGACTTGGCCAAGGAGGAGATTCAGCGGAGGTATGATGTCCTGTGCTCACAAACCATCGATCCCCGGCTGGTAGCTGATGCTGTGTTGTAGCCTAGACCTGGCTTCTGAGTAAACTCTATTCCTTTTTGTTCTTGAAGGGTCAAATTATTATGTGACCAAAAAAAGAAACAACTAGAAGATCTCAATTATTGTCGAGAGGAGAGGTAAGTGTCAAAAAGAAGAAGAAAACAATAGGTCAGTAGGACTGGAACCATATTCTTACCCTAAGATGCTGAGCCACATTAGTTGGTTTCAGCATCAAGGTGTGGACCTCAAGAGTCTCTTGTTTCTTACATCATTAGGAAAAGTCTGCGGGAAATGGCTGAGCGTTTAGCTGACAAATATGAGGAAGCTAAAGAAAAACAAGAGGATATCATGAACAGGTCAGTGGGCTGTACAACATTTAGTTACCTACTCAGGTACTAACAGTGATATTTAAGAAAATGGGCATTGGCAGGTGCTTACATACCTACACAATTGAACTGATCCCCCTACCTCTCCTCTGAAGAATATGTTGGGGAAAACATGAGGCCCTCCCCTAACACTTCTTATGGGGCCTACTTCAAAGACACCAGATTCATGAATTATGAGCTTGTGATTATGTTTCTCCTAATTAGCAGAGACCTTAACTTGAGATGTTTGCTTGCCTTTTCTAAAGGATGAAAAAAGTACTTCACAGTTTTCACTCTGAGCTCCCAGTTCTCTCTGATAGTGAGCGAGACATGAAGAAAGAATTACAGCTGATACCTGATCAACTTCGACATTTGGGCAGTGCCATCAAACAGGTAGGAATAGATCCAAACTAGCTAAATTTGGTAATTTTTCTTAAAGCACTTATTCTACAGAAAATTTTACAAAAATGTAAAAAGAACAGATTCAAATAGATAAAATGTGTAGCAAACCACTGCCAAAATATCTATTTTGATACTTAAGGTTACTATGAAAAAGGACTATCAGCAGCGAAAGATGGAGAAGGTGTTGAGTCTTCAAAAACCCACCATTACTCTCAGTGCCTACCAGCGGAAGTGCATTCAGTCCATCCTGAAGGAGGAGTAAGTAAATACTCCCAGTCAGCTATGACTGTGAGATGGTTGTTCCTTTACAGTGTGCCGCAGTCAGCCTGTCTTCATAGAAACCTGGATCTTGGTATTTGCATGTCAGGAAATGACTGGGACAAGAGCCACATGACACACAGGGGCTTAAGAAATGACTATGGTGGGAGGATTGAAAGTGATGACCTTCTAGTAACATGATTTTGTTGTGTGGCCAGAGGTATTTTACAGTAATTATGTTCAAAAGTATTTCCAGTACTTGCACCATTTGCCACCTTAAATGAACAGTGAACACTATTGCTATCCATCTGAAACCTTCAGCTGTTAATTTTAGCAAAGCAGTTCTTAGATATTTCAACATTACCAGTTTGAAATCTTAAGACTCCATATAAATGGTTTATTATATTTCCAAAAGTGAGTGACTTTACAATTTTACAGGGGTGAACACATAAGGGAAATGGTGAAGCAAATCAATGATATCCGCAATCATGTAAACTTCTGACACCACCAGGAGCTGACTCACACCTGAAGTGAACACCACTGAAGGCTTAAACCCATATTGTAAAACAGGTAGCATTATCTAATTTACAAAAAGGCATTTTGGATGACCTTTGGTGTGGTTGTTCATCTTTTTAAATATTTTGTTTTATAATTATTGAATAAATGTTTTTATTTAAAATTTGGATTGTGCTTTATAACTCAAGCCTACAGTTGTGTTCAGCAAGGACTCAGGGTTATTTCACACTGCACACGGCCAGAACCTCCCTGAACCCTGTTGAGTGTTCTCCGTATCTGAGCAAGGTATTCTTGGGAGCTGTGTTTTAAAGTAGCAGCACCAGAAACATGACTCTGAGAGGGACAGAACCTAGGATTCAAAGGAAAAGACCACACAGTGTACTCGGCAGTAGCTTTTTTAATGTGAACACTTTCTTCTTAAGGACACACTTTCAGTACAGTTAACAAATGGTTACACCTGAAATCTGCTGAGAGCAGAGCTCAAGATCCACAATTGCAAAGGCCACTGCTGGCTCACTTCCTCACAGGCTGTGTTACCTTTCAGAGCTGAGTGAGGCTGTGCTCTACGTCCCAACACTTGTTACTGAGTGGACATGAGGTGCAGGTTTAGCACCTTAAAGGGAGAAAAAAAGAAATAGGTTAGTATGCAGAATGTGATTTTGTCCTCACTTCGCCTTAACTCATCTTTTTATACTTGCCAATGTGAGTTCTGAAAGGTAGTACTATACCTGCTTAGAAATGGCTGAGTGACTGCCAATTAAAAGCCACATGATAAGGTAGGTTACAGGTAGGAGGTAAATCAGGTTAGACATGCATGAGAACATGTATGCACAGACTGAATATAAGCACAGGAACACTCAACCCAACTGATCTTTTCTTTCGCCTTCTAAATCAGTTCCCATTTATGCTGAAAACCCAGTGGAAAGAATTGTTTCCTACCTGGGACAGTGACACAGTAGTTTGTTGCATACCAGAAGCACATTGTTAAACAAAACTTAGAGTCTCGGTTTGGGTTTTTCTACAGTATTTTTCTCAATAAAGTGAATTCCAGCAGTTTGCATTTGTCACAGTAGAGACCACTAACCATTCCCTAATTGTGATGATTTTATTACCCAGTACTGTCTTCTGGAGAAAAATATCTGTAAGGTGCTCAGTCTCAGCAGAACACTTCACTGCAAGCTCTAGTTCAGTCAGTTCAGAAAGGCTGTGAACTGCCCACCCTGATTTGCAGCACTAATTTTAATAATCTGAAGACAAATTCGCTTGGGGCTTATCCAAGGGACTAGTCTTAAACCTACGTAATTTAAATTGATTGCATTTTATAATTAATAAAATCCCCTGTAACTCAATAGTTATATGTTTCCTTTATCTAAACCATATAGCACTCTTTATAAAGGGACTTCAAACCAATTTAAATAATGTTTCATGCACGGCAAGCCTTTAGTACTATTTCCATAATTAATATTTATTTTTAAATTCATAATCATGAATGCAAGACTACAATAATAACCCAGGAGATGAGGTATGTAGTACTTATCATTTGTCCTATGGAAGACAGACGTACAGGAGTAAAGATCTTTAGGGCAAGTCCATAGTGACCTCATTTATAACAGACAATTCACTTTAAGTTGATGGTGGCTTTATGTGAACAAAACAATCTACCTAGTTCACTAACTCCCAGAAGGCTCTTTCAGGTACCTTACTGTTATGCAACCAATCTCAAAAATGATTTGAAAACCATTTTACTTTTGAACCTCCTGGATGATGATCCATCCAGTGGATCTTCCTGGGACAGTACTCTCAGCAGGTATTGGTGAACATGAATCAATCCTTTGTGCTTTCTGTAGCACTTCATAAAGTTATGGCAAAGACCTGTTTCACGGAGGCTTTCTTCACACAGGAAAGGAATCTAATGCTTGTAAAATGGCAAAGCAGATTTCCAGACTGATGAGTATTCTAACTGGCTTTCCATAAGCATTGTCCCTTACATTCCAGGTCTGGACTTAAAAGAAAAATACAAAGTATCTGTCAACCTAGTTACCATTTTTGTATTTGACACATTTGAAACAAGTAGTACGTAAGCCTAATGATCCAAGTTGAAAAATAAGCAGATTTATAAATGTATACTAGAGGTTCTCAGACAAAGCTTGTTTTATTAATGTTTTTCACTGATCCAATAACTAGACTAAAACACTTCAAAAGAGTAGATGGTACCAGTTCGGCTTTATGCTGGTACCTGTGGGCCCATGAAGATCATCTAAGTATGCAGAAAAAGTGCTTCCCAAGTTTCTTGTGCTTTTCCTTTAACCTTCAGCTTCCAGTATATATAGCGCTAGCCAAGTGTTCAGATCCTCATCATTAATTCACTTCCTGAATTGGTTTTGTTTGCCACAGTCCTATGGTTCTCAGGTTAAGTTTCAGTAGCATTTAAGGTCCTCCAAAGCAAGATAAAATGGTAAAAGGGAAACAAAAATGTACTGAGTGAGGGAAATACAGTCAGTAGCCAATGGCCTGCTCCAAACCTTCATATTTTAATATAAAATATTCATACAGCATACTACACGTCTGTCTGCTAACTGAATACTGTTACTGATGAGCTCTAGACAACAGATAAAGCAAATTCTCTCTTCCAATATCTATGAACAGAAAATTCCAAACACTACTGGGATGTCGCTTTAGGGTAGGGAAATGTGTTCCAAAAATCTATGTTGGAGAAAGCAGGCAAGGAAACAGCACTTTTTCCATCACTGAATCTGATCCCACGCCTGTTGTAATCAAGCCTGGCATTATCAGTGTTCACATTTGAAGGTCTCTGGGCTGCAGATCACCCTGTTTGCTGTTTCCTGTGCCGCACAGTCTTCTCCCTCTAGAAGTAAGCATTTCTCCAGTCTTCCTTTTGTTGTGACTTCTCTTTCTTCAGTTAAGAGTTAAATAATAATTAATGTTGCTCTAAAGATGAGTTAAAAACCCAAAGTGCAGGCTAGAATCCTGCCATCAGGGTGTCATGTCTCAGGAAGCTGGTTAATGTCTGTCAGTTTAGTATCATTCAGAATTGCCCGGATTCTCTCCAAGGAGTCTGCTTGCCGGATCCGCTCTAACTGCACCTGGAGAAACAATGGTGAGGTAAGTACAGGTGGCTCCTGCCTAGATTTTCTGAACTGTGACTGGTTTAGCTGAGATGCAGCAGATTAACTCACCAGAGTAGCAGTCACTTCAAAGGGAGACAACAAGAACAATTAAAAATTTTAAAATAATTCCCCAAAGCTATTGCGTAACAGACTGGGATTTTTTTTTTTTTTGGAGACAGTTTCGCTCGTCACCCAGGCCAGAGTGCAATGGTGTGATCTCGGCTCACTGCAACCTCCACCTCCTGGGTTCAAGTGATTCTCGTGTCTCAGCCTCCCAAGTAGGTGGGATTACAGGCACCCACCACCACACCCGGCTTTTTTTTTTTTTTTTTTAATTCTTTTCCTCCAGAGTCTTGCTCTGTCACCCCAGCTGGACTGCAGTGGCGCCATCTTGGCTCACTGCAACCTCCACCTCCCGAGTTCAAGCAATTCTCCTGTCTCAGCCTCCCGAGTAGCTGGGATTACAAGCACCCACTACCATGCGCGGCTAATTTTTGTATTTTTAGTAGAGATGGGGTTTCACCATATTGGTCAGTCTGATCTCGAACTCCTGACCTCAGGTGATCCACCCACCTCAGCCTCCCAAAGTGCTGGGATTACAGGCGTGAGCCACCATGCCTGGTCCAGACTAGGATTTTAAAGTGTAATGTGTTGGGATTATGGAGACAAATGAGACCTGACTCCGGACCCTGAAGAATCCACAGTTCCAGGCTGGGTGCGGTAGCTCACGCCTGTGATCCCAGCACTTTGGGAGGCTGAGGTGGGTGGATCACCTGAGGTCAGGAGTTTGAGACCAGCCTGACCAACATGGTGAAACCCCGTCTCTACTAAAAATACAGAAATTAGCTGGGTGTGGTAGTGTGTGCCTGTAATCCCAGCTACCCAGGAGGCTGAGGCAGGAGAATCACTGGAACCCGAGAGGCAGAGGCTGTAGTGAGCTATTGCACTCCAGCCTGGGTGACAAAGCAAGACTCTGCTCAAAACAAAAAAAAGAAGAAGAATCTGAAGTTCCACTGGGGAAAAAAACTTAGTTTTAGCACAATATTCTAAATGTCATTTTGTCATTACAGGCATTCATGGAGTGCCCAAGGGAGCATGGCAGAGGGAGGGGGCAGTTTAGCCCAGCTCAGGGACCTAGAAGGGCTCCATGGAATGGACAAACCTATGCTGAGCCTTGAAAGAAAGGAGTCAAGAGGGGATGAGAGGAGGATGCTTACCAGACGGAAGACCACACTGTGGGCGAGGAACCACAAGCAGTTAAACATGAGAATGTAAAACAAAGCGGAGAGATGAGCAAAATACAGGGGTAGTCCTGGTTGGGAAGAGTCTTACATGGTATGCTAAGGAGTTTATACTTTACTCATAAGGAGGCAAAATTGGCAAGGTATAGAGAAAAAGAAAAATGGGCCAAGTGTGAAGAACACACCAGGTTTCTGGCCTGAATGATGAGGCAGACATTTGGGGTGGAGGTAGGAGCAGCCAGTCTCTAAACCTCTAGCTACTGCCAGTGGTCAAGTCAGGGATTGGCAAGGTTCCGTCCCCCAAAACTGCCTTCGTGCTCTGTATGTGGTTCCCCAAACGCCTCACCTGAAGGGTCTGTGAAAGCTTCACAAAATCTCTCTGGACTTGCTCACTGACATCCAATTCTGTCTGTAATCTCTGAGCTTTGTTCTTCTCTTCAAACATTAGTTGTTCAACGGTAGCCTAAAAAATACAAGTTTTGAATGAAGATTAATGCCAAAGGGCCGAATTACTTAGGAAATCTAGTAAGTTGTAGTTACCAATGACTAGGGCAGCAAGGTGGGTGGATATCCATCATACTCCTATACACGACCAATCTCTTTATCTATAGGGCAAGTGTGCAAGGAATCTGGACAGCTTTAGGTCCTCAGATGAACTGGGTGTGAAAAGCCAGAGGAAGAAATGGATTAAAGTGCTGCCCTCCCCCACCCCCAGCAGCTGGTGACAGTGACCATAATCAATCATCAAAACAGTTGCTGAGATCAGAATCTGTCACAGCGACAGGGATGCATACAGGATTTCCTCTGACAACCTCCACAGTCAAGCACCCACCAGGAAACTTAGTGACTACGCCCCAGGCAGCCCCAGCTATCCCCAATCTCTCTTACAGAAAACTTCAGCAGGATGTGTGGGAGCCTCTAAAAACAAGCAGTTCAACAACACTGTCTGTGCTTTAAGGTCTGACCCCTCAGCTCACTACCCCCACAACATGCACGTTTATTCTAACGGAACTCATCAAAATGTAGGCGGCAAACCTGGTTGGACGCCATCTCTCTTAGGATTTGATACATCAGTCAGATGGAATGACATTTTCAAAGCTGCTTCTAACTGGGCAGCGCCCAGGCTTGGTCAATGGCCCTGACTGCCTACCTACTATCGGAAGCTAGCCCATGACACAGGCCTCCAGACCTGGCAGAAAAGATTTAACCCAGCTGGAATAGATCAATTCATTTAATTTTTTTCTTTTCACAAGCTGTCAGTCTTGCCAACTTTTTAAAAGGTGACACTTCAAAGCACCAATACTTTTTCTTAACATGCAAAATGGGATCCTACCTTCTTAGCCCTACTTTTCAAAATTAAATGACCAATGAAAATACTACCTTAGCAGCAGTCTCTTTTTTTAACTGCTCTTCCAAACTGATCTTCATTTCCTGAAGACTCTCAAGCTGTTGAGACTTCTCTCTTAATGTGGACTCCAACTGTGAAAACAGAAAAAGCTGAGACAGAAACTCCCTCAGGCCCCCACTGCACTGCCTAAAAGAGCCTAGAGCCTGGAGAATTACACCAGGACACTCAGGCTACACTGGGAATACTCTCACCCTTTCAGCTCTGTGGATCCCCTCTGTATTCTTCCTGAACTATTCTTTCATTAACCATTATTAGGCACCTACTGTATTCTAAGGCCTCAAAATGGAGAAACCAGGGGAAACAGACGTGTGAAGCATGAAGGAAGCAGCATTTAATTCTGCCAGAAAAGTCACAAAGGACTTCCTAGAGGAGATGACATTTGACTCCTACATTTTTACAGGGCAAAGACAAGGGTGACAAGGGGAGAAGATGGAGAGAGATACTCCAGTAAGAGGGAATGGACGGCACGCATTAAAAACACATGCAGGAACGGTGGCATGTTCGGCTGGCCTATAGCATGACACATTGGGAGCCACAGGCACTGAGGCGGAGAGGTAGTGTGAGGCAGGAGAGCTCTGGTTGGGCTAAGGATACGGACTTGATCCTGTAAATAAAGGAAACCACTGGAGGGCTCTCCACTAGACTGAGATGCAAACAAGTATAATGTTTAAGTATCACCTTGATTTCAATATGGAGATGAATTAGGGACAAATTTTGGAGGCAGGGAAGTAAGTTAGGCTGTTACAATAAGCCAGGTGAGAGTGAAGTCTGAACTCAAAGAGTGGCAGCTGGAATGGAAAAGATGAGATGTATTTCAAGCGCTGGTAATTTCTGCTCATGCAATCTCAGAAGCAAAGTGGAGGCAGGAGGCAGACTGCAGTGGGTGCAGGGGTGGCTGGGAAGTCAAGCAGTGGACATGGTCAAGACTGTGGCAACAGAGGCAAGAAGAAAGATTGGTAGCTTGAGAGGAGTGCAATCCAAAGACAGACTTTTTCTTTCTGAATGGGAGACACCTGAGCCTGTTCATGCATAATGGAAAAGACCAGTCCAGAGGTAGAAGTTCAAGGCCCAGCACGGTGTGGGGACGTCTGGAGAAGTCCGGAGACACTCAGTCAAAGCACCTATGCAGTGACACACTGTGCTCAGAAGCAGGCCATCATTTTCTGAAGAAAAAGAGAAGGCTGGGAATAAAAGGAGAACCTGTAATTGAGGAGCCCAGGAGCTGAAGGTGGCCCTGCCTGATGCCTGAGGAGTGAGGCCAGCATCTGCTGAGAGTGAGGAGGCTGAAGTGAGATGACTCTGAAACTGCCACTGTGAGGAATGGAGGAGACACAACTTAGAACACATGGCAGGCTGCAGGAGGAGCACTGGAGGCCCATCTGGCAGCACAAGCAGGCAGTGTCACCAAGTCTGGTGGCATCAGCAGCTAGGGACAGCAGGACTAGTCCAGGGTTGGGCAGTGGTCAGGTGAGGGCAGCAGCAGGACAAGGAGTGAAAGACCGTAGGGGCAGGTGTGGTAGGAGATGAGGGGAAGAGGCAGGCCAGTAAGATGCGACCTAGGGGAAAGCAAGCAAGCCATGAAGCTGCTAAAACCAGGATAAAAGGGTAAGTTCAGAGAAGTGGAGGTCTGAATGAGGTCCTCCAATGGATAGGCCTGCAGGATGAAGAGCTGGAAGGATGGCAGATTCTGGTCAAGGAATTTAAGGCTGCAGTGAGATGTCACAGTTGGGCAAAGTGCAGCCCAGTGTGTGGGAAGGGAGAGCAGGGTGGAGGTGAAAATCTCTAAATCAAGGAACAGTGAGGTCAGGAAGTTGAATGGGGTTACTATGAAAGGTACTGATGATGTCTTAAGAGGACTAAGCCAGCTAGAAAACATCATCTCTTGTTTGTAACATTTTTATACATATTTCTACTGTACCTCTAAGCATATAACATGTTATGACCATGCCTGGCCTATCTTCTCCCTACACTGGAAACTCCAAGCCACAGTCACAGCTTAGCCTTACCTCCTCCAGTTCTATGTAGCCTGACACACAGGGCACTCTCAGTAAGTCACCATCACACCCTTACCCCCATGGTTTTCTTCCCACAAGACAGAAGTTCCTTAAGGCAGGGCCCTGCCTTAACTACTTTTTATTCGTTGGGTCTACCATAGTAGGAGTCAATAAATAACTACCGGTTGCTGATAGAATTAATTTGAAACTCACGACTTACCTGTCCTTTTTCTACTTTTATTCTTTCTAATTCAGCTTTTAGGCTAGAAATGGAAGCTAGAAGGAAAAAAAAGAGACGTATTAGCATTCATCTATTATTTTGCATGAACATTTTTTTCTTTAAAATTTTAGAACACCCCCAAAGGATTCAAATATATGCTGAACATGGGTTCTGGGGGGCTGTCTCAAAATTACCACCAAGCAATCAGCATATTCAACGCAGGGAAAAAGCAGGATCTATGCAAACAGACACGGTGTCATAAACTACTTCTAGATCACGTATCACGTCTCTGCAGGGAAATGCCGCCCATCGAATCACGTTCCCCTGGGTCTGGGTTCAAGCACTGAGAATCCTATCTATGAATGATTGCCAAAGAGGCCACAGAACTCCTAAAAAGACTAGTTTTCGGCCAGGCGCAGTGGCTCACAACTGTAATCCCAGCACTTTGCAAGGCCGAGGCAGGCGTATCACCTGAGATCGGGAGTTCGAGACCAGCTTGACCAACATGCAGAAACCCATCTCTACTAAAAATACAAAACTAGCTGGGTGTGGTGGTGCACGCCTGTAATCCCAGCTGCTTGGGATGCTGATGCAGCAGAATGCAGAACTGCCTGAACCCAGGAGGCAGAGGTTGCAGTGAGCCAAGATCTCACCACTACACTCCAGCCTGGGCAACAAGAGTGAAACTCCATCTTAAAAAAAAGGACAAGTTTTTAAAATAACCAGAATTTCTGAGTATTTGAATATATCAGAATATATATTCAGAATCTGAATATATCAGAATATCTATAAAAAATGGACTGAGTCTGTACGAAATTTTTTCCTATGCTTTTCTGTGTTCCAGACTCCACGGCCACATATTACTTCTTTATTGAAGTTTTCTTTAGTGACTCTAAACTACATCACTTTCATCTTCACCTATTTCCTCCTTGCAGTTTTCTATTTCTAGCTGCAGAGTTTCTTCAAGATTTTCTTTCAAACACTGTTCTGCTTGGATCTGCTCCTTTAGGAAAAGTATCTCGGCCTTCAGCTTTTCTTCTACGTGGTCTGCTGCTGTCCGCACGTTAATGATGTCCTCGCGGTACTTTAATACCAACTCCCGCAGCGCCTGGACTCAAGAAACAAATGATTATCGGGTTTGTGAGAGTGAAAAGAAATAAAGCAGCTAAAGATTTTCTATAACCAGAATCTCAGATGCTGTTTTAATGGTTCAAAAATTAAGACTTTGACCATTAAGCCACTTAGAGCTTCAGGGCAGGTGCCATGTCAGGTTAACGTTCATTATGTTATAGAAAAGACATTTCTGGCCAAGTCGTATCTTCTGAGCCACATGCTCTTCCCTCAAAACTGTTTCTTAAGCAGAAAAATAAAAAGGTTAAGTGACTTACAATATGCCATTCAATCGAAATAATACCTTAGACTCCTCTACTATTACTTGCAGAAATTTGTGAGGCGTTAGGAAATGAAGACAAAACTCAGTAGCAAGTTCCCACTCAGTAGCAAGTGTGAACCAAGAGGATAAGGTTTACTTACTTTCTTACTCATTCATTCAAACATGTACTGAACATCTAGCACAGGCAAAGTACTACCTTAGACCAGAGGTAAATAATGGGAAAGATGGCTTTCTAAGGTGGTAAGCTGCTTTTCTGTAATAAATTCAGTACATAATTTGTTTTGTTTTTCTTCCTAAATTTTCGTTCTGTCTTCTTTTAGAAAGCCTTTCAATTATATCCTAAAGCAACTCTAAAGTAAAAACGGGATTTTCAGATAACAATATATATAAAACAACAGTTTTTAAAATTTCAGAAGATTTATTACTGAGACAGGTCCAAGAATCAAGGCTTACACACTTACATTCCTCAAGGATTCTTGGAACTTTTTTTTTCTTGAGACAGGATCTTCCTCTGTCACCCAGACTGGAGTACGGAGTGCAATGGCATAATCCTATCTCACCACAGACTCAAACTCCTGGGCTCAAGCCATCCTCCTGCCTCAGCCTCCCAAGTAGCTAGGATTATAGGCACATGCATGAAACTGTGCCCAGCTAATTTTCTTATTTTTTGTAGAGACACGGTCTCACTATGTTGCCCAGGTTGGTCTCAAACTCCTGGGCTCAAGCAAAACTCCCACTTCAACCTCCCAATGTGCTGGGATTACAGGCAAGTGTCACTGTGCCCGGCCTGGATTCCTAGAACATTTTAAAATCTAGACTAGCAGGCACTGGCTTATGCCTGCAATCCCAGCACTTTGAGAGGCCCAGGCAGGCGGATCACTTGCGATCAGGAGTTCGAGACCAGCCTGGCCAACATGGCAAAACCCAATCTCTACTAAAAATACAAAAAAAGGCCGGGCATGGTGGCTCATGCCCTGTAATCCCAGCACACTGGGAGGCCAAGACGGGCAGATCACGAGGTCAGGAGTGCAAGACCAGCCTAGCCAATATGGTGAAACCCCATCTCTACTAAAAAATATTTTTAAAAATTAGCTGGGCACAGTGGCATGCGCCTGTTGTGCCAGTACTTGGGAAGCTGAGGCAGAAGAATCGCTTGAACCCGGGAGACGGAGGTTGCAGTGAGCCTAGGTTGCTCCACTGCACTCCAGCCTGGGTGACAGAGCGAGACTCCCTCTCAAAAAATAAAAAAGAAATAAAAAATAAAAATACAAAAACAAATTAGCCCAGCGTGCTGGCACATGCCTGTAGTCCCAGCTACTCGGGAGGCTGAGGCAGGAGAATCACTTGAACCCAGTAAGCAGAGGTTTCAGTGAGCCAAGATTGCGCCACTGCACTTCAGCCTGGGCGACAGAATGAAACTGTGTCTCAAAAAATAAAGCTTGGATAAAGTTCAGGAGACAATTATGAATGTCTCTGGGAAATCGTTTTTGTAACCCAGGTTTACCCAACCACAGAATAAGAAGTGACCAAAAGTGTCATCTTTGGCCGGGCATGGTGGCTCACTTGAGGTCAGGAGCTCAAGACCAGGCTGGCAAACATGGTGAAACCCCGTCTATACTATAAATGCAAAAAATTAGCCAGGCGTGGTGGTGGGCGCTTGTTATCCCGGCTACTGGGGAGGCTGAGGCAGGAGAATCGTTTAAACCCGTGAGGCAGAGGTTGCAGTGAGCAGAGATCATGCCATTGCACTCCAGCCTGGGCGACAGATAATATCTGTCTCAAAAAGAAACACAAGTGTCATCTTTATGGACAGAATGATGGTGAGTATGGTATAACCTTTCAAGTACCAGATACAAAAACAAACATCATAAGCAGCCATAATTTCTGGCACACTCTCAATATGGTCCCACAAAAATAACTTACACATCTTGAAAACATTAGGCTACGTGAAGAAGATGTACACAAAAGACCACATATTGTATGATTCTATTCATAGGAAAGTCCAGAATAGGGAAATCTATAGAGGCAGAAAGTAGATTAGCAGTTGCTTAAGGTTAGGGGAGGAGGAGGAATAAGGATGGTAGCTAAAGGGTGAAGTGTTACTTTTTCTTGTGTGTGTGTGTGTGTGTGTGTGTTTGTGTTTGTTTTTAGCTGGTGTACTTGGGTCACAAGGAGTTCTTTCTGAGGTGATGAAAATGTTCTAAAATGGATTGTGATGATGGTCGCACACATCTGTGAGTACAGCAAAAACCACTGAACGGTACACTTCAAATGGCTGGATCGCCATGTGAATTATATCTGAATAAAGCTGTTTACATAAAGAACATACAGCCAATTCCGAAAATGTACTTGTTGACATTTTTGATCATGTGGAAAGTAAGTTACCTCTGTAGTGTCTGGGAGGATGAAGTCTTCGGCTTGCTGTAGTGACACATGCAAGCTGTGCTTTCCCTGGAGACTGTCATTGTCTTTCTGTAACCTCACCAGCTCTTCTGAAACCTGTTCCCGTGACTGCATCAGCACTGCCTAAAATAGAAGGAGACACTAATCACAGCCAGAAAGGTAGATCCGGTCTGGTAACAGCTACGCCAGAGAAAAACAAAACCAAACTAAAGCAGTGCCGAGGATGGACGGGGTATGGCGAAGTTCTGCTGGACTTAGAAAAAGCAGTGCAGAGATTTTCTGATTTACAGCACATATTCCACAAGAGGACAGGCAAAGCAGCAAGTATCTGAGGCTCATTCTCCATTGTTCCTACAAACCGCTTAAAAATACTGTCTTCTGGTTGGGCGCGGTGGCTCACACCTGCAATCCCAGCACTTTGGGAGGCTGAGGTGGGTGGATTGCCTGAGATCACAAGTTTGAGACCAGCCTGGGCAAAACAGTGAAACTCCGTCTCTACTAAAATACAAAAAATTAGCTGGGCGTAGTGGCGTGTGCCTGTAGTCCCAGCAACTAGGGATTGGCTGAGGCAGGAGAATCGCTTGAACCCAGGAGGTAGAGGGTGCAGTGAGCCGAGATTGAGCCACTGCACTCCAGCCTGGGCGACAAAGTGAGACTCCATCTCAAAAAAAAAATTAATTAATTAATAATAATATTTTCCCTCCATATCCCTGTACTAGAGAAGGACCAGGATCTCTAGTTCAATGGAAGTGGCTGACACCATCAAGACCCGTATCAGACAGAGCATGTGCTCTAAGACAACTCCTCTTTTCTCATGGCATGCATTCAGCAGAAAGGAGGGAGAAACCAAGCAGTGTCCTCATTTCCGGTCATGTGTACATCTGTTCAGGCTCAGGATCACTGTGAATGGCCCAGCAGGCCCAGATACTGGAAGTCGTCAAGAGGATCTAAGCTTGGGAATCACAGAGCACTCGAGAAGCTTATTCTTTTTTTTTTTTTTTTTTTTTTTTAAACAGAGTCTCACTCTGTAGCCCAGGCTGGAATGCAGTGGTGTGATCTCAGCTCACTGCAACCTCCACCTCCCGAGTCCTGGTTCAAGTAATTCTCCTGCCTCAGCCTCCCAAGTAGCTGGAATTAGAGGCATGCACCACCACGCCCAGCTAATTTTTTTTTATTTTTAGTAGAGATGGGGTTTAACCATGTTGGCCAGGCTGGTCTCGATCTCCTGACCTCGTGATCCGCCCACCTCAGCCTCCCAAAGTGCTGGGATTACAGGCGTGAGCCACCACACCCGGCCAGAGAAGCTTATTCTTAAAATCAGACACACTCCCACTTCTGCTTGTTGCTGTATAAAACAATTTTAGGTATTTCATATTATTTGCATCAATATAAAAGTTACTCCAGCAAATCTGAGTGTAAGACAAAGCTCTCGGAAAGCATGTGGCTCCTGCTACTCTGTAATGCCAGGTCACTTACCTTAAGGGCACACATACATGTAGATTATGCTCTCATACAACATTTATTTTGCAGCTATTACTCTATGCCACGTGTTTTGCTGCCCACAGGAAATACAGAGGTAAAAGACAAAGACTTTGTCCAATAGAGGAGAAAGACAAGTAAACCAAAAACTACAATACCATTAACTGCTATGACAGAGATTGGGTACAGCAGTGATAAAAGGCCAAAGGGGTACCTAATTTGGGGCAGGAAATTGGGGAGAGAGTTAACACTTCCCAGAGGAGGTGATGACTGAGCTGCATCCTGAAGGACAAACAGGCTACAGACAGGCAGTCAAGGCCATGCATATGCTCTGGCTAAATCCCACTGGCTCTTACTGTCTTCAGACTAGAATCCACTGTGCTTTATGATCACTTTCAACCCATTTACAACAAAATATTAGCATCCCACCACCTTGTGGATATGAAAGAAGGGAAAAAAGAATATGTATATATTTGCTTGTTTTTGTAAAGAGAAAAACAGAAAGATAAGGCAAAAATAAATTCAAATGATTACGTATGAGAGTGGGTGGAAATGGGGTGAAAAGGATAGGGAATGGAAATGGAGGATTTATTTTTATACTTTTGATTATGAACCATATTGCATATTCAAAATATAAATCAAAAAAGAAAAATCAAATATGAAAATGTAATATAAAGAGAAACAAATGGAGCTAACTATATGTCAAATTCCTAATACAACCACAGAGAGAACAACTAACATTTGAACACACTACTTAAACTGTAAACCCTTATCTGAGATACAGTCTATGGGCAGAAAGAACTACAAAGAAATGTTGACCTTTCCTTAGTAGATTTGCTGTTGGTAGCAATATTGATGTAGTCATTCTGGAACTATTTTGTCCCCACCTTAAGCAAGTGATCAAATTTAACATCCCCAGTAACGGAAGCACCCATCATTAACATGCCTCATGATGTTAGGAACCTCCCATTGAACCATTTCATCTACACAGTATTCATGCCAAGATGTCTAACCTGAATCACATCACAAGGAGATAATCAGACAAATGAATTCTACAAGACAGCTGGCCTAAAACAAAGCAATCGGCCTGGATTCTTAAAAATAAAAAAAGAGTGGGAGCCTGTTCTAGATGAAAAGTGACTAAGGCAACATGACAACAAGATGAAATTATGTGATCCTTGATTGGTTCCTGGATCAAAATATAGAAAATATAAAAAGGAAAACCACCACTAAAAAATAATCAAGGACTTATTGGGACAACTGGTTAAATTTTAAGGATGTAATAATAGTACTGTAGCAATGCAGAACAACTCTTTGTTTTAGGAAATACTAAAATACTTATGACTGTCATATGTACAATAACTCCAAATAGTCCAGCAAAAAACACAAACCAAGACATACATACATACATATCATATACCTACAAACATACACAGAAAGACTAAGAACAAGGGCAAGCATGCACTAAGGTGGTTAGTGTCTCTTACTCATGGTAATTTCAACAAAATGGTCATGTATTAGAGTTCATAGGACCTCAACCTTAATTTCAACAATTCTCCAGTGTCACTCGCACACATTCGTTTTAAGTGAAACCAGCTTGAAAAGTATCTGCAAAGGCTGATGGGTTTTAAAAGACAAGAAGGAGGCCGGGCGCAGTGGCTCACGCCTGTAATCCCAGCACTTTGGGAGGCCAATGCAGGTGGATCACCTGAGGTCAGGAGTTCGAGACCAGCCCGACCAACATGGAGAAACCCCGTCTCTACTAAAAATACAAAATTAGCCGGGCATGGTGTTGCGCGCCTGTAATCCCAGCTACTCAGGAGGCTGAGGGAGGAGAATCACTTGAACCCAGGAGGAGATCAGGCCATTGCACTCCAGCCTAGGCAACAAGAGCAAAACTCCATCTCAAATTAAAAAACAGACAAGAAGGAAAAAGATGCAAGGGGACAAAGGAGTGTAGGAGGCTCACCACTATGAAACTGTCAGTATTTAACAATGATCTTTACGCCAGTGTTATTATTTTGTATTGTCTAATTAGAGAAAACATATGAAACTATGGGTCAATGATTAGGATGAGATGCTTCCCTACAGACCAGGTTTAAGATTTAGGGATCAGTTCATAGGCCATTCAGATACCTAATGCCAATTAAAAACATTCAATGACCATTCCACCCAAGGCTTTTTTTTTTTAAACTGTCATCCCCGGGTAAGCATCAGCTTTGGAGAATCACCCCAGCAGGGCCATCTCTAATTTAGTTGGAAGCATGAGATGTAGGCTCCAACTTTGAGAAAAGGAAAAACAAAGCAAATGTAGCCAGACTGGTAAGGAGGGAGGCCAAGCCTGGGGAACTATCCGCAAAGGCTCTAGGCAGCCCTTGCTCCTAACACTTTGCCCCCATCCCTCTCAGAACAGATGGCCTTCTGGAAGTTCCCCAGCACCACAGCAGTTACATGTTTTTTTCATAACCCCTGTGAAACTAATAAGGTTTTTTTTGTTTTGTTTTGTTTTTGTTTTTTCTGAGACAGAGTCTTGCTGTGTCACCCAAGCTGGAGTGCAATGGTGCGATCTCAGCTCACTGCAACTTCAGCCTCCCAGGTTCAAGCACTTCTGCCTCAGCCTCCCGAGTAGCTGGGACTATAGGCGCCCACCACCACGCCCAGATAATTTTTTGTACTTTTAGTAGAGATAGGGTTTCACCGTGTTAGACAGGATGGTCTCAATCTCCTGACCTTGTGATCCACCCGTCTCAGCCCCTCAATGTGCTGGGATTACAGGTGTGAGCCACTGTGCCCAGCCCTAATAAGGTTATTCTAAATAAATCAGCCATCCAGGAAGATCACAAAATGACTGGTCAAAAGCTGTACCGGCTAGGGCTCTCAGACATTCAATTTTTTAGCTTTTATTTGGAATTAAAAATTAAATGTAGGTCCATAGTTTATTCTGTTTAGGTTTCCCAAACAGAAAAATAAGTTAAACAATGAGAAAAATTTTTGTTTGGCCAGAAAGTAGGTTTAAAAAAGGAATGATGCCTTTACAATATTTTGTCCATTATTAATGTTCTACAGTCCCGAGAGAAGACAACAATAACTACTTTGGACAGGATGATAAATTCCTATCAAAGATGATATCAAGATAGAACAAAAAAGGAATATATGTAACATAGTTATCATTTACTTAAAAGTAAACTTACCATCTGTTCCTGAACATCCCTCTTTGCCTGGGAAAATCCCTGTTGTAACTCTTCAAGTAAGATCTCGGATGCTTGGGCTCTTAGAACAAGTGCAGAGATCTTTAAAAAAAACACATGCATAGAAATATAGTTAGGAAATCGGTTATTCTGAAACTAACTCTTCCATCTTCTAAGTATTTAGTGTCTGGAATTGACATTTTATTGGTTCATGGTAACCACTCACCATCATCCAACAGCTGTGTGCACATCTGCTGTGTGCAAAGCCTTGGCCTTTCGGATAACACAAGGCAGTGCCAAAGCCCGAGTCACATGCAGCCACACAGTAACAGAGAGCATTCTATGGGTGTCTAGGCAGATATTAACTCACATGACCTAGTTGGAGCTATGTTTAAAGATGTTTAAAAAAAAAAAAAATCAAGCCGGGTGCAGAGGCTTACACCTGTAATCCCAGCACCTTGGGAGGCTGAGGCGGGCAGATCACCTGAGGTCAGGGGTTCGAGGCCAGCCTGGCCTGCATGGTAAAACCCCATCTCTACTAAAAATTTAAAAAATTAGCTGGGTGTGGTGGCGGGCGCCTGTATTCCCAGCTACTCGGGAGGCTGAGGCAGGAGAATTTCTTGAACCTGGGAGGCAGAGGTTGCAGTGAGCCCAGAATGCCCCCTCGCCCAGCCGGGGGAAAAGGGAAAAAATTCAAAAACCCCTCTTGGGTTTAAAAAAAAAAAAAACAAAAAACTTATTTCACATAAATCAGTGTAGAATTTGGCACAAAAAACAGGCAAACAGACAAACTGAACAGACCATAGTTCTGAAACTAATCCACACAGAGCAATGGGGGAAAGTGGATCTTTTCACCAAGTCATACAGAAATTGGCTAGCCATACTTTAAAAAAAAAAAGTTTTATCCTTATCTACACTGTGTGTGTGTGTGTGTGTGTGTCTCTAAGTCAGTTCTAAAGGAATTTTAGATATAAATGTGAATAAAGCCTCTATAATATAGGATATCTTCCTAACTCCATAGGAAATGATTCCTTTTTAAAAAGGAAGAAAATCACAAACCGTAAAGAAATGATTAACAAACTTGATTTTTTTTTTTCTTTGAGACGGAGTTTCATTCTTGTTGCCCAGGCTGGAGCGATCTTGGCTCACGGCAACTTCCACCTCCTGGGTTCAAGCGATTCTCCTGCCTCAGCCTCCCGAATGGCTGGAATTACAGGCGTGCGCCAACACACTCGGCTAATTTTGTATTTTTAGTAGAGACAGGGTTTCTCCATGTTGGTCAGGCTGGTCTTGAACTCCCGACCTCAGGTGATTTGCCCACCTCGGTGTCCCAAAGTGCTAGGATTACAGGCGTGAGCCACTGCGCCCGCCCAAATTTGACATTATTAAGGACTTCTGTTCATTAAAAGACACCATTAACGAAGACATAAGCTACTGACGGGCCAGGTGCATGGCTCACGCCTTTAATCCTAGCACTTTGGGAGGCCAAGGCGAGTGGATCACTTGAGGTCAGGAGTTCAAGACCAGCCTGGTCAACAATGTGAAACCTACTAAAAATACAATAATTAGCCAGGTGTGGTGGTGAGTGCCTGTAATCCCAGCTACTCAGGAGGCTGAGGCAGGAAAACTGCTTGAACCCAGGAGACAGAGGTTGCAGTGAACCGAGGTTGCGCCACTGCACCCCAGCCTGGGTGACAGAATGAGATTCCATCTCAAAAACAAAACAAAAAACAGCAAATATAAGTTACTAAGTAAAAGACATCTGCAATACTTGTCAACAAAAGATTCTGACAAGATTATATAAAGGACACCTAACAAATCAGTTTTTAGAGACCAAAAAGAAGTAAAATAAACAGACAACACAATAGAAAGATGAGGATAAGACTTGAGCAGGAATCTCTCACACACACAGTATCACAATGGCCAAGAAACATGAAAAATGCTAAATAACTTCAATGGTCATTAGAGAAATGCAAACTAAGCCACAATGAAATACCATTACACACCCACCGAAATGGCTATAATTAAAATAACAAAATGACGTTTTTTCAAGACCTTGGAACCACAGGAACGCTCATACATTGCTGGTGGAGGTTAAACTGGTGTAACCACTCTGGAAAACTATGTGGCATTTTGAACGTTTGTACCCAAGCATTCCACCCCACTTACAACTCCTGCAGAAACACGTCCACCACGCCCTATGCAAAAATGTCAAAGGAACATTATTCATAGTATCCCAGAACTGGAAACAACTGAAATACCCATCAACATTAGTCTGGATAAATTGTGGCATTTCCGTATAATGGTATGACTATTCAACAATGAAAACAAACTTACTCCATGCATCATGAGTAGGAATAATACACTGTTGAACGGTGGCAGACAGATGCAGAATAACACAGACTGTATGGCTTCATTTTCTAAACATGAAGCACAGGTTAATCTGATGGTGTTACAAGTTAGGACAGTGGCTGCCTGTCGGGAGGGAGCTGTAGGTGTGGGGAAAGTGAGGGCTTCGGGGGACTGGCTAATATTCTATTGCTTGATCTCAATGGTGGTTACACAGATGTTGGTTCTGGTATGTTTGGTGTATCTGTATATGCTATTTTTTTTTTCATGTTGCTATACTTTTACAAAGTTTAAAAGAAAATAATTAGTATCTTGGTCAGCAAGTTTCCAGTGCAGCAGGAAAACCTAACTAATACAAACTAAAAAGGAAAGGAGAATCAGAGCCTCCCGGCGTTTACTGACCAACTATTTCAAAAGTTATTCTTTAAAAATCTGTAAAACAGATATCACAGAATGATCAGTAAGAAATCGTTTTACCTGAGGGAAAATAAAACTGCCAAATCTTGAAGGCAAAAGAAACATGACTCTGTTTTTTGAATCTTTCATTTAAATAACCAGTCATCCCTCATGAGCCACACTCTACAAACCCTCCCTTACCTGGTGACTCGAATCTTCGCTACTTTGCTTTATGAAGTCTTCCAGTTCCTGCTTATCTTTCATTGTCTTCTCTAACTGGTCATTAGCTTGCCTTAGCATCTGCTGTAGTTTTTTCACCTAGATCATTTTAAAAGTCAATTAGAAAGAAAAACCAGAATCCTTTTATAAATTTTTCAAAAAAATCTAACTGCAGAATTAAAAAAAAAAAAAAAAAACTCTATGTCTTTTTCTGGGAAACACCATAGATTTTTTAATTCAGACAGAAATTAGATAAATGACCTCAAGAGACAACTGTACTGTGCTTTACAGTCCAATCATTTTTCACACACGTCTCATCTGAAAACATCTGCTTCTCCCCCAGACCCTCCAGGCCATGACACTGTTCTCCCTAACTAGAGTGTATCCTCTGTCTCCGGGCTACAATCCACACTAACACCAGAAATTGTGAAAAAAGTGAAATAATATAATTTCCCTACTTAAAGCTCTAAATGCCTCTCAAAGTCTTCAGGGTAAATTTTTTTTTTTTTTTTTTTTTTTTTGACATAGTCTCTCGCTCTGCAGTCTCGGCTCACTGCAACCTCCACCTCCTGGGTTCAAGGGATTCTCCTGCCTCAGCCTCCTGAGTAGCTGGGATTACAGGCACGCACCACCACACCCGGCTAATTTTGCATTTTTAGTAGAGATGGGGTTTCTCCATGTTGGCCAGGCTGGTCTTGAACTCCCAACCTCAGGTGATCCGCCCACCTTGGTCTCTGAAAGTGCTGGGATTATAGGCGTGAGCCACCGCACCCGGCTTCAGGGTAAAATTTAAATCTCTTCAGTCATCACCGCTCCCATCATGGTCTTTGTAGTTTACTCTCCCATTATTTTGTAACAATCACCCCCTGTGCCCAGCCACATAACTACTCATACTTCCTAGAATACATCATTTTCTTTCCTAACTCTGTTCTTTGTACATCTTTTCTCTCCATGAACACCCTTTTCCCACTTCTTTTTCTGACGAATTCTTAGCCAGGCCTTAAAACAGTCTACTGAAATGTCTGTGAAAACCACTGCTACACCATACCACCAGGGGCCAGCTACATGAGTTCTGCAAATACCTTTAGAAGTTAACCTTTGAAACATCGATGAGTAAAGCACACAGTGTATGAAGGAACTCCACAGCAATGACATTTGAAAATATTAAACCATCATTCTAACCTGCTTAAAGTTATTTTGAAGACTAGGAATAATCTTCATAGCAACCAAAGAACAATTTGGAAATACAAGGAAAAAGTATCTTTCTTATATATACTTTTACAAGCCTACTCTCATGAATTTCTACATTATTTCCTAAATGCTATCAAAATACCCATTATTAAACACTGCGTTTGAAAAGGTACTGAAGATTTATCAATCTCAGCATACCGAATCTACCAAAGCTTAATTTCTGTGAACTTATTAACCTTAATTCAACAAATTTATGACAAGAAGTAAGCAATAAGCAATGAAGGACACAAATTCTGATTAGCATTCAATTAAGCCTTTATTCTTTTAGAGGCAACAATCAACCTTTTATCTCCCTGAGATCTCCACATCATAAAGTACTTTCCATGTACATAAAATCATTTTTAGGCCTTAGATGGAAGGGGCAGCAGTAGAAGAGATGAGGCAGTGTCCCTTTAAGAGCTGGGCTGGCCTGTGCAGATACACAAAAGCAGAGTCCTAGTGAGCTCCACTGGAAAAGCAGCTGCCATTGCATGTACCACGTTATCTCATAACTTAACAAGATGGATACGCTTCATAATGTAAATGGGGCTGGGGGCAGAGGGGAGGCAATTAATTCTGCACCTCCAATGAAAACTACAATAGATACCCAATTTGGCACATCCAGAAGAAACTCACCTGGTCTCTTGTTTCAGCCTCCTGAATCTGAATTCCTTGTAACTGTTTTTCGTAATTGGAACACATATCACAACGTCTACCAAGTTTATTTCCAGCATTATGCACCTGAAGGGCACCAAAATTACTTCTTATCAGGCAAAACAAAATAAATCTACATCACACACTTGAGGTACACGTGCACAGTCTTACCAAAGGTGCTCAGTAGAACATGAAGTTAACACTTTCTTCAGGGCCTTATGGCAAAAAGTTACAATATAGGGTCAGATTCTAAAATGTCAAACTCTCCAGTACAAGTATGACAGGACACATGGGACACAATTTATTGCCAAGAGGCACAAAACCTCACATCTGAGGACAACACAAAGCAAGTAAAAGGTACTATACCGTGGTACTCACAGTTCAATACTAACCAACCACTGGGAAGGAAAAACAAATAAAGACAGTGCCAAGTCACCGTTTCACCAGCTCCAAGTATAAAATAGGTATGAAACTAGTAAATAGCACCTTCGCACATATGTTTTACATAAAACCAACGAGAATTCTTTCAGGCCTCAGTAAGCTGTTCCACTTACTGACCCATGGCTTCCTTAAAGGGAAGCAGCCCTCAGTCAAGGAAAGCCCCAGGAGTCAAGTTTTGCAACTAAGTCGAAGGGAACACTTGAGCAACTCGCTTTATCTTTCCCAGCCAGTTTTCTCACCTGTAAATCGGGAATAACCATGCCCCACTTGCCTCATTATAATCACAAAGCTTAAAGAGATCAGGTGTGTGAAAGGCCTTTGTAATCCATAAAGCATTAGGCAAATATCTAAGGGTTTATCTCCTAATCTCACCTGTAAATTTACAAATTCTCTAAGAAGGAAAATCGACTTCATTAAAGATTGGCTTCTTTTCTCTCCCATATTTCCAACCCCTCTTTAAACCCGCTCTTAGCATCAACAGCAGACAAGCAATTGCGCTTTCGATCTAAAGGAAAGATGAAAGCCTGAATCCTGGAATACACTGAGATTACAGAAAACTGCAAAGCAAACCAAATTCAGGTTGCTCTAACTTAAATTCAGCAATGCTAGTCAGGCAGATCGCTCCAACCTGAGAGTTGTGAGTTCAGGTGAGGAAGTTCACATTCGCTGTGATTAGCTAGCTAGCTCCTTTCTCTGTCACAATTACCTGGAATAGCCGACGCGGACTATGACAAGGGTCAGGTGACACGGGTTAACATCCACTTGCTGGCAACATATGCCTGCACTGACTCCAGGAACCATCTGCTGAATGAATGATAAATCCCAGAGCTTCCCAGTGTGCCTCAGTGTGAGCAAGAGGAAAAACGTGAGAAAGGCAACTCACCTCTTTCTGCAAGAGATTCCATTCTGTCTCACTAACTAAACGATAACCACTCGGGGACACGTACGCACTCTCCATGCCCTGGGTAACGCTGGAGAGGAGGGACGCCGTCTCTTCTTGTTCTGGTGTCATCGCCTTGATTGCTCTCTCCTGATCTTTGGTTAACATAAACCCACTTGGCATCTGGAGCGACCCAAGGGATACAGTATCAAAGTTCTCAGACACTGAATCTGCCCCTACCAGTGGTCCAAAATCTGACTCGTCCAGGTTTCCAGCAGATTTTGCTTTGTAGTTATAGCCTAAAGCTTTGGATTGCAATGAGCCTGAAGTTCCCAAGCTGTCTGTAGACTGTGCTCTCCTGAGTCCATCTTTAAACATGTCATTGTCCGATTTACTGAAAGGATCTCCAGCTGGCAACAATAAGTCTGCATCTAAGGAATGGACGGAACCATGGGTGCTATCTAAATGCTCCTGAAATGTGAAAATATATATTGCCAAGTTAGACAATTCTCTGCATTTTTAAAAAAATAAATGTATTCTGCCACTTGTTACACATGATAATCATTAATGTGCTACCTTCATAGACTCATTGAACAAAAATTTACTAAGTGTCATTTCTACATGCTGGACATGAAACCAGGCCCTCAGGATACAACTGTGAGCAAGATGTAATCCCTGACCTAGAGATACATACAGCTTCAAAAACACAAGGTAAGTAAGCAGACTGTTATAATACTGTGATAAAAGGATGGGCTAGAGCTCTGTGCTGAATGCTGTGGTAGCTCAAAGAGCTCCCAAATACAAAGAGTTGGGGAAGGTCACCTGCAATTCAGTGTTGCGTATGTCAAGCGTGAGGTGCCTATCGTATATCCAAGTAGAGATGTCCCCTTAATAGAGGGACACAGAAGTCTTTCAATAGAGACTTGGGAGTAACGATTGTATAATGATAATTAAAATCACAGCAGCAAATCAGAACACCTAGGATGAGTGCGTAGGAAAAGAGGGCCAAGGGCAGAACCCTGAGAAAGACTTAACATTTTGGGGATGAGCAAAGGAGAGGACAGAGTAGTAGGAAGGAAATGACGAGAATGTGGTATTTTCTTTTTTTTTTTTTTTTTTTTTTGGAGACGGAGTCTCGCTTTGTCGCCCAGGCGGAGTTCAGTGGCGAGATCTCAGCTCACTGCAAGCTCCGCCTCCCGGGTTCACGCCATTCTCCTGCCTCAGCCTCCTGAGTAGCTGAGACTACAGGTGTCCGCCACCACGCCCAGCTAATTTTTTGTATTTTTAGTAGAGACGGGGTTTCACCATGCTGGCCAGGATGGTCTCGATCTCCTGACCTTGTGATCTGCCCGCCTTGGACTCCCAAAGTGCTGGGACTACAGGCATAAGCCGTCGCGCCCAGTCCAATAATGTGTTATTTGCAAGCAAGGTGTAATCAACATGTTCAATGTTGTATACTATGCGAAAGAAGATGCAAAACGTCACATATTATGTAAGTCCGTCTATTGAAGATGTCCAGAACAAGTAAATCCGTAGAGACATAAAGCAGATTAGTGATTGCTAGAGGCTGGGGAGGAAGGGAAAACGGGGAGTGACTCTAATGGGTATGAGGTCTCCTTTGGGAGTGATAAAAATGTTTTCAAACTAAAAACATTTGTGTATATATGCAATATCACTGAATTATACACTTTAAATTTTATGTTATATGAATTTTATCTCAATTTTTAAACAACGTGGTACAGCACATTACCGAAGGCAAAAAGCAAACCAGTGCCATTACATGAAGCAGTTGCATAGTTAGTGGGGAAATAAGACAAATTTATTTAAAGAAAAATGTAACAAGTTTTCTTTCCAACTGAATTTATTCCATTTAAATGACAATATTTTAAGATAATATCCTTTCTACGTTTTGTTGTTAAATGCCCTTTTTTAAATGAACCAGAGGAGACTGTGGAATACAGTTGTTGTTACTGGCAAGTGCATGTTACCAATTTTTTAAAATGTTTTAAAAATATTCTTGGTGTAATAAAAAGGTGACAAATTTTGAATTAATGCCGCCATTTCTTTCCTTTTAAAGATTTTTACTCATCTGAGGGCTGGGCGCAGTGGCACATGCCTGTAATCCCAGCCCTTTGGGAGGCTGAGGTGGGCAGATCATGAGGTCAGGAGATCGAGACCATCCTGGCTAACACGGTGAAACCCCGTCTCTACTAAAAATACAAAAAATTCGCCAGGCGTGGTGGCAGGCGCCTGTAGTCCCAGCTACTCGGGAGGCTGAGGCAGGAGAATGGCGTGAACCCGGGAGGTGGAGCTTGCAGTAAACCGAGATCACGCCACTGCACTCCAGCCTGGGTGACAGAGAGAGACACCGTCTCAAAAAAAAAAAAAAAGATTTTTACTCATCTGAAACTGCAATGGCTAAGAACACAAATCTCATATATATTAAGCTTACTATGGCAAAGATCCCAAGTAAGTATCCTAATAAAAACTAGGATAAGCCATTCTGTTAGTTTACAAATAAACCTAACACGCACTGCTATGTATGACACACAGTGCTGCTGTGATACTGAAGAGGGAAGGGGCTAGGGACAGAACAGCTGTGAGGGCCATTTGAAAAACATCAGACTACAGGCCTGGTGCAGTAGCTCGGGCCTGTAAATCCAACACTTTGGGAGGCTGAGGTGGGAGGATAGGTTGAGCCCAGGAGTAAAAGACCAGCCTGGGCAACATAGGGAGACCTCGTTTCTACAAAAAAAATTAAAAATTAGCCAGGCATGGTAGCGCATGCCTGTAGTCTCAGCTGCTCAGGAGGCTGAGGCAGGAGGATTGCTTGAGCCTAGGAGATCGAGGCTGTAGTGAGCTGTGATGGTGCCACTATACTCTAGCCAGCCTGGGTGGCAAGAATGAGACCCTGTCTCAAAAAACACAAAACAAAAAACCCCACATCAGACTACTAAATGGGCAATAATATCTTAAAAATATTTACATTCTTGAATTCAGCAGGGTTTTTTTTTGTTTTTTTTTTGTTTTGTTTTTTGTTTTGTTTTGTTTTGTTTTGTTTTTCCTGGAGGCAGAGTCTCGCTTTGTCACCCAGGCTGGAATGCAGTGGCGCAATCTCGGCCCATTGCAGCCTCCACCTCCTGGGCTCAAGGGATTCTCATGCCTCAGCCACAGTGAGTAGCTAGGACTACAGGCACCAGACACCGCACACGGCTAATTTCTGTATTTTTAGTAGAGACGGGTTTTATCATGTTGGCCGGGCTGGTCTCAAACTCCTGGCCTCAAGTGATCTGCCTGCCTCAGCCTCCAAAAAGTGCTGCGATTACACTTGTGAGCCACTGTGCCTGGCCAGGCAGTTCTTTTCCTAAGAACTTATACTAAAAATAAAATGAAATAAAATAAAATAAAATCAGATGCATCCACGATTTTTGTACAAGGAAAAATTATATATAACATTATGATATTACTTATAATAATGAAAAATTGGATGGTAGTAAAAAGTGGATCCAACTTGACTATCAGTGTGTTAATCACGCTTTTCATTTTCTATATTTCATGATGTCTTGATTTACTGGAGGCCTTGCTGGCGTGAAGAAACTGCTTCCCAAGACTAGCTAATTTCTAGAGATAATAAACAACTCACCTGACTGTAAACACGCCTTTCATACACAAACCATTTGATCCCAAACCCATATCCCCAACCATCTCCCTTACCTAAGTCACACACCGAGCCAGTATTTCCCCTGCCTGAAATCAACCCAGGGCCAGTTCCAAACAGCTAAGAACAGACCCTATACCCCAAAGGCTGGCGGAATTAATTACTAGCCAGTCCTAAACTCTCTGCTCTGCTCCACTTTGCTTTTCCCAGAAAACCACAATAATAGCTATGGCCCATGCTTTTCTCTTGCTCCTGCTCCTGCCTCCTGACCAGCTCTGGTACTTCCCTGCTATGGCCATGCATGGTGTGCTGGGCCTCTGCTTCTAGGAGAACTGTGAGTAACACAAAACTTCTTTCAGTGGCATTGACCTCCCTATGTCATCACTCAGTCACCATTATGAATTAAAAACCAGGCACAAGCTGGACACCGTGGCTCACACCTGTAATCCCAGCACTTTGGGAGGCCAAGGTGGGCAAATTACTCGAGTGATTTGACCCGTCTCTACTAAAAATACAAAAATTAGCCTGGCGTGGTGGTGCATGCCTGTAATCCCAGCTACTCAGGAGGCTGAGGCAGGAGAATTGCTTGAACCCAGGAGGCAGAGGTTGCAGTGAGCTGAGATCACGCCACTGCACTCCAGCCTGGGTGAGAGTGAGACCCTGTCTCAAATTTTTGAAAAAAGTACAAATAGAAACACATATGTGCTCCAGCCTGGGCAACATGTTGAAACACCGTCTCTATAAAAAATTAGCTGGGCAGGATGGCGGACACCTGTAGTCCCAGCTACTCAGAAGGATGAGGCAGGAGGATCACTTGAGCCCAGGAGGTCAAGGCTGCAGTGAGCTGAGATTGCGCCACTGCACTCCAGCCAGGGTGAGAGTGAGACCCTTTCTCAAATTAAAAAAGAAAGAAAGAAAGAAAGAAACACATATGTTAACATATATATTATCTCTGGAAAAGAAAATAAGAAAAGTAAGAAAGAGATAGGTACCAAAATATTAGTTGTTACCTATGGGTAGGATGATCTACCAGTTATTTTTATTTTGTATGGTGTTTCCTATACTTCCCAAATTTTCCATAATGAACATTTTGTATAGAGAAAAGCACATTATAAGCATCAGGTTAACGAAAATGTGAGGTCTACATATTTCAAATATCTTTAGCCATAAATCTAACTCTCCAAAGCATCTGAGATTAACTTTTTTGTGTGAGACAGGGTCTCACTGTCATCCAGGCTGGAGTGCAGTGGCAAAATCTGAGCTCACTGCAACCTCCAACTCCTGGGTTCAAACGATTCTCGTGCCTCAGTCACCTGAGTAGCTGGGATTACAGGCATACGCAACCTCACCCAGCTAATCTGTATATTTTTAGTAGAGACAGGGTTTCACTATGTTAGCCAGGCTTCAGATTAACTCTAAACCAAGAGCTGTGTCATTATTCTCAATAAAAAAACAATTATATTCAACATTCAAATTGCAAAACACCAGCTCTGAAAGTCTACAGATCGTTAAGAGAGAATCAAAAATAAAAATACTTCTCTGTAAATCACAACAAATGTCCCTTTCCTGTTTCCCCGCTTTTCAGACATTCCTGGATAGATTTACTGCATGATGAAAACACTATGTAATCATTGGCTGTACCCAAAACTTGAGACATTCTCCTGGGAGTCTAAATATTTTTAAAATGCACAGCAGAATTAGACCAAGTGGTTCCCAGTCTACGTCCCAGAACAAAGAATGAACAAAACAACTACAATCCTCAGCACTTTTCAGTGTCTACGAAAATTTTTTTAAAGTTTTTCTTAAACCTCAAACAATCCATAAGCATGGGCACATAAACCACCAGGAGGCATATTACGTATGGCTCAAAGTAAATCTGCAGCGTAAACAGAAGCAGGATACCCCTGAAAGTAAAGACAAGATCCATATCCAATTTAACTGCGATTCATTCACCAGGCCAGGAAAGGAGGTGTGGCGGGGAGTGAGTGTGATTCTCAGCCGCAGGGACAGGGCAGTGAGTGTGAACAGTAAGTGCACAGGTCTGGCCACAGACAAGTGGAGAGCAGTGAGTGAGGCCGGAAGGGTCATTCAACTGTGAACGCCCTTGTATGCCACGCTAGGGATCTTGGGGGATCTTCGTTTTCATCCTCAAGGCAATAAGAGAAGCATTTCCTTCACTGATAACAAGATAACCAGCACGAGCTTTGAAAGATGAGCAGAAGGATTTCAATACTCAGAAAGGCAACGGGAGGAAAGTACTCCAAATGAAGGCAGCAACAGACCAGGTGGGAGTACAGCCCAAGATGACGACCAACATGGCTAAAATGTAATCCAGATGATGAAGGGCCTTACCTGTCCAAGTGAAGAATGTGTACTTAATTATATAGGTAACGGGAGTCAATGGTAGTTATTGAGTAGGGGAGTGGCCTGACTGCAGCTGCACTTAAGAAAATGAATTTGACAGTAATGCTGAGGGTGCGATGGAATGGGACAGGTTGAGACAGGAAACCCAGTGAGAAGGCCCTTGCCACACTGTGGGTGAGAGGTGCCAAGGCCACAGAACACCTAACACTTCCAGGTCCCTCTACTCTACCCATTCCTAGTACCTGAAACGTTTCACCCTGTGGTGTTGCAATCTGCCAAACCTCACCCACTGCTGTCGTCAGAGATGAAAACCTAATACTGGTTAAAACTCATATATATACTATAGGGAGTTAAGCATTTCAGCGCTTTAGATAATCTGTTTTAAACAAAAAAGATAAGTATTAGCAATATGTACTATTCACATCAAAAAAGATTTTGCAGACATTATTTAAAGGTTTATTTTAATGCATTAAATTTGGGAAATACTGGGAAAAAGAACATCTAATTATTTCAGACAGTGAATGAAGCTACAACATGTTTCAAACAGTGCTACCTATAATGCCATAAAAACAACTGAAAATAAATACTGTCATTTTTATCTAACTTTCACCTAGTTAGATAAAATGAACTTCTCACTTCTCATATGAACAATGTAATTAACTGATGTATGAGTAAGCTAAAATTGTTGACATTGTGTATATAATGACTTTAATTATAGATTCACTATACCTCTTCATTTGATAACTGGGCTGAAGATTCTTCTTGAGTTAAAGCACACACTACCGGTATTTTTATTTCTTCCTCAACATCTGTTTTTTTGTGATCCTTTCTCTTATTGAGTCTCTGTTGTTCATCATCCTCCTAAAAGTGAGGAAGAAAAAAACATATATATGACCCAAGTAACCTACTTAATAAGTGACATAGTTCTTTAACCATTCAAAACAAATAAGAAAGAACAGAGCATTATGATACAAGAAAACTGGACACTTACGCTTCTTTGTTTATAATCCCATATAAGGGCCTCTGGAAATGACAAAATATTTTAATACTAAAGCACAAACTAAGAACCCTGGTATAAAGAAGAAATCAGGAAGCAGCTTCCAAGAAAAGTATACTGCATAAAGTAAGGCAAAACAAAAGAAAGCAAAACTGACTCTTCAAATGATCCATGAAAAAAAAAAATTTTACACAGAACATTCCTTGTGATTACTGTAGAAAATAAAAACGAAAAAGTCTGTTTTTGAGACAAGGTCTTGCTCTGACACTCAGGCTGGAATGCAGTGGTGCAAACATGGTTCACTGCAGCCTCGATCTCCTGGGCTCAAGCAATTCTCCCACCTCATCCTCTCGTATAGCTGGGATCATAGGCATGTGCCATCACGACTGCCTAATTTTTTTATTTGTTGTAGAGACAGGGTTTCACTTTGTTGCCGAGGCTGGTCTTGAACTCCTGAACTCAAGCAATCCTCCTGCCTCAGCCTCTCATGTAGCCAGGATCACAGGCATGCACCACCATGCGTGGCTAATTTTTTGGGTTTTTTTGTACAGATGGGATCTCATGCTGTTGTCCTGGCTGGTCTCAAACTCCCAGGCTCAAGAGATCCTCCCACCGTGGCCTCTCAAAAGCGTTGGGAATACAGGCGTGAGACACCACACCCCTCCCAAAAAAGTTTTTATAATGTTACACCTCCATTAGAAACATTAACAAATGTATATGAATACAAAACGAATGATTAAAGTTGATAGAATAATTCACTCAACAAAGATGAGTGAGATACCTTATGCCTTCAGTGTACCCTAAAACAGCCTAGTGAGGAGAGACAAACACTTACAATACAAGTATGTACAAGGTTATAAAGAAGGAGGAAAAACAATGACTGATTTCATCTGAAGGAACCAGCAAAGGGGGCCCAAAGGAGGTAACACTTCAGCTGAATCTTGAAAGATCAGTAAGGTAAGTTTGCCAGTTGCATGAGAAGAGACAATTAAGGGTTCCAGGGAGAAAGGAAGCACATACAAAAGACAGAAACGTGGAAAAGCAGGCCTGTGGGGGAATTCTGTGTAATTTTATATGGATGAAAAATGGGCAGGCACAGGAGAAGTAAAAGACAAGGAGAAAGAGGTGGTGAGTAAGCACTCAGACTCTGGAATCAGAGGCTGTTCGAGCCTCAGATGGGCCATACATGACCTCTCGGCCTGTTCACTATTCTAGAACACAGGAACTGTATAACTGTAGACCCTACCATTCATGGAGAGGTTTTTTTTTTTTTTTTTTTTTTTTTTTGATAAGCACTTGAGATAAAGATTTATACATAAAGCCTTAGCACAATGCTAGCACATAGTAAGAGCTCAATAAATGTTCAAAAGTTTTAAATGATCATCTTAGTAAAGTTTAGACTCTTTTTGTTTTTGTTTTTTTGAGACAGAGTCTCACTCTGTCACCCAGGCTGGAGGGCATGATGCGATCTCAGCTCACTGCAACCTCCGCCTCCCAGGTTCAAGTGATTCTCCTGCCTCAGCTTCCCAAGTAGCTGGGACTCCAGACGCATGCCACCAGACCCGGCTAAATTTTGTATTTTTAGTAGAGACAGGGTTTTGCCACGTTGACCAGGCTAGTCTCAAACTCCTGACCTGAGGTGATCCACCCGCCTTGGACTCCCAAAGTGCTGGGATTACAGATGTGAGCCGCCACACCCGGCCACATTTAGACTCTCTTAATGGGCAGCAGGGGAGGCAGGATAAGATCTGTACTTTAGAATCTAAACCCTTATGTCAGGGGGTCGTGGTGGCTCACTCCTGTAATCCCAGTACTTTGGGAGGCCGAGACAGGCAGATCACTTGAGGTCAGGAGTTTGAGACCAGCCTGGGTAACGTGGTGAAACACTGTCTCTACTAAAAATACAAAAATTAGCCAGGCGTGGTGGCACACGCCTGTAGTCCCAGCTACTTGGGCAGCTGAGACAGAAGAATCGCTTGAGCCTGGGAGGCGGAGGTTGCAGTGAGCCAAGATTGTGCCACTGCACTCCAGCCTGGGTGACTGGAGTGAAACCCTGTCTCAAAAAAAAAAAAAAAAATTCCTTATGTTGGCTTTGACTACATGCAAGATGAATTAGTCCAAATTAAGAGACAAAAAGGAAATTTAAAAAAGAAGAAACTTTGCAAAACAAAATCTAACCTAAGTCACATAAAGCAATTTGAAATGTTTGACAAGATACTTAGAAAGGCAGGGAACACTTTTACATAGCTATCCTAGGGAAATAGCTGCACACATACACAATATGGTCAAGGATTTAGCTGCAACATTATTTGAGATGACAAGAAAAGGGGGACCACCTAGATGCCCACTACAAGGAGAAAGGGTAAATCAATATGGTGCATCCATGCTACAGTCAAGAGCAAAATACAATGTTGATATGAAAATATATCCAGGATAATGCATATGGGAAATATATACACTTTTCTTTGAGACAAGATCTTGCTTTGTAACCCACAGCTGAAGTGCAGTGGTGTGATCACAGCTCACTGCAGCCTCCGCCTCCAGGATCAAGTGATCCTCCCACCTCAGCCTCCCAACTAGCTGGAACTACAGGCACGTGCCACCATGCCCAGCTTTTTTTTTAATTTTTTTATTTTTTGTAGAAACAGAGTCTCACTATATGGCCCAGGCTGGTCTTGACCTCTTGGGCTCAAGTGATCCTCCCGCCTCAGCCTCCCAAAGTGTTGGGATTATAGACGTGAACCACCATGCCCTGCCTAAAATAAATACTTATAGTATAAACATAGTTGTATAAGAGGAAAACTATACCCTAAATGTGTATCATGAACACACAGAACTGGTTTAGAAGACTCTCTACCAAATGGTAAAACAATCTTCTGACAAGGGGAGGCGTGGGAGATGTTAAGGAAGATTTTTCACTTGATCACTTCATATTTATTTTTTCACTGTATTTAAAACAAAAAAATTATGATAATGTGTAAATATATATATATGTAATTCATGCAATTTAAATAACTAAAAGATAAGGAGAAAACAGGAACCTAAATATGCAGCGCTCTGAATACCTGCCACCTCCTATTACTCAGCCTCTCCATTCATATCATGTCACCTAGTAGAGCTTTTAGAGCAGGGGGTCCAATCTTTTGGCTTCCCTGGGCCACACTGAAGAAGAACTGTCTTGGCTACACACAAAATACACTAACGACAGTGGATGAGTTAAAATGAACAAACGAAAAAAGATTGCAAAAGAAATCTCATAATGTTTTAAGAAAGTTTACAAATTTCTGTTGGGTTGCATTCAAAGCCAAGGGCTGCAGGTTGGACAAGCTTGTTTTACAGCAATGTCACCCAAGACTTGGCCTGGACTGATAAAGCCCAGGAGCACTGGGAGAACTGGTCAGCAGGGGAGAGAAAGATTTTCTCCGAAGTATGCACTGCTGCATCCTGCAGTCACTGAAGATCATTTCTAAATCAGTTTCCCCACCCCCTAGAGGAGGCTATTTCTAAAGATGAAAAACAAAGCCCCTCAAATGTAGCTGTTATGTTTTTAAAAGTGGCATATATCACCTTGTTGCAGCTTAAGTCAGTCTCTAATACACATAAGGTAATGCAATCACATGTGGTGGGGGACATTACTGACAAGGCAAATCAGTCCTCAAAACTTCTATTCACCTGATCTTTCTTCTTCAGTTCTTCAACTTGTCGGAGCTGTTCTGAAGTTAGCACAATCTCCATTCGCTGCATGTCTCTCATCAGTAAACGCTGAGATTCCAGAAACTGGTCATTGGCCTTCTGCCACGTATGCTTTAACTGGTTGTGTTGTTGTCGCTCTTGCTCCAAGAGATGGCAAACTGTTTAGGAACCCCCCACCACAAATCAAAAACACTGAATTTTAATGTAGGCAATTTCTTCAGCACAGGGCTCCTAGCCCAGGTCTGACCAACGGTCCACATCTCTAGGATTCTATTCTTAGCTGGACCAAGGGGCAACCTATCCCCACACTATCTCTTTAAAGCAGAGTCTCCCAAAGTGGACTCCTAGGAACACAGCAAAGATAGATTTCTGTGCTTAGTAAAGTCTTAGAAACTTCAGGTTAAAGGGAGAAATTTATTATTATGATGATGATTTTGCAAAGGCTTCTCCATAATTAAATAAATTTTTAAAGATTTCTTTACTGCAGGACTTTGAACTCGGGGTCTTAATTATGTCTATGTTTTCTTGGAAGGTGATATATAATATAGCCTTTTCCACATCTATTTGACAAAAGAAAAAAAAAAACTTTTCACAGTACAACTCAAATAACAAGTATTCTAGGGAATATACTTTGGGAAACATTGCTCCAAAGGCCAAAGGTGGAACACTCCTAATTGTGTTTAATACATTCTGATAAATCTGTTATCCAGAAATCCTCACTGGGTCCGGTTAATATAGACTTCTTATGACAGGTCAAGGAATCTTTGTAAAATGTATGTGTTGTTGATACTCATCAGCTCAGCCATCTTCTACTGAAAAGAGAGGAGGTAGCATGATCCATCCACCCATCTACCAAGCCAGAAACCCGAGACAGCTCATACTTCTGACTTTTCCTCACCCCAACATATTCAGCTATGACAGAGACCTGCTAATTCGGCCTCCTCTGCAATATGATACATCTATCTTCTGACTTCTGCCTTAGATCAGCGCTTATGACTTAAACAGCTACAACAGAGGCCCCTTTTTCATTCTTCTGCCCTCAGTCTTGCCCTCCCTATTCTATTCACCACAGTGCTATTAGATTGAACTTTCTAAAATGCAAAACGAATATTACCACTCTCCAGTCAAAAACCCTTCACTGAACCCAGACACAAAAAGGCACACATTACAAAATCCCATTCACATCGAAGTCCAGAATAGGCAAGTCCACAGAGATAGAAAGGAGATTAGTGGTTGCCAAGAGCTGGAGGTAAGACATAGGAAGTGACGGTAAATGGGTACGGGATTTCTTTCTGAGGTAATGAAAATGTTTTGGAAGTAGACAGTGGTGATGGGGCACAATTTTGTGAATATATTAAAAACTACTCAATTGTATACTTTAACGAGTGAACTTTATGGCATGCAAATTTTATCTTAATAAAACTATTATTTCAGAGAAAATAGGCCGGGCGCAGTGGCTCATGCCTGTAATCCCACCACTTTGGGAGGCCGAGGTGGGTGGATCACAAGGTCAGGAGATCAAGACCATCCTGGCTAACACAGTGAAACCCCGTCTCTACTAAAAATACAAAAAAATTAGCCGGACGTGGTGGTTCCAGCTACTTGGGAGGCTGAGGCAGGAGAATGGCATGAACCCAGGAGGCGGAGCTTGCAGTGAGCCGAGATCGCGCCACTGCACTCCAGCCTGGGTGACAAGGGCAAGACTCCATCTCAAAAAAAAAAAAAACAGAGAATATAAAAAAACCTTCAGAGGCTCCAAACTGCTCAGATGATCAAGTCCAATATTCTTAGCATAAAACCTCTATGTACTGGTCTGTTTCTACTGCTCCAATCTCACATTTTGCCCATTGCCTCTTGTATTCTAATTGTGCTGAACTGCTTTTCTTAGACTTCCTTACCTAACTGCATCACATGCAAATGACCTTGAATGCCATGCTTCTGAGTACCTGACAAGCACCTACCCACCTTCCAAAACTCCACTTAAGGACAACTTCTTTTAAGAAGCCTATCTGGGCCGTGCGTGGTGGCTTACACCTGTAATCCCAGCACTTTGGGAGGCCAAGGCAGGTGGATCACCTGAGGTCGGGAGTTTGAGACCGGCCTGACCAACATGGAGAAACACCCCATCTCTACTAAAAATACAAAATTAGCCAGGCATGGTGGCATATCCTGTAATCCCAGGTACTCGGAAGGCTGAAGCAGGAGAATCACTTGAACCCAGGAGGTGGAGGTTGTGGTGAGCTGAGATCGCACCATTGCACTCCAGCCTAGGCGACAAGAACGAACCTCCGTCTCAAAAAAAAGACTCTATTTTTTATTGTGAGTGTTTCAGTATGGAAATTACTCCACGTCCTTCCTCATTTTAATTAACCTTCTCAGGTCAGGTACTTTTCTTTTTTTTTTTGAGACAGACTCTTGCTCTGTCACCCAGGCTGGAGTGCACTGGCCGGATCTAAGCTCACTGCAAGCTCTACCTCCTGGGTTCACGCCATTCTCCTGGCTCAGCCTCCCGATAGCTGGGACTACAGGCGCCCGCCACCTCGCCAGGTAGTTTTTTGTATTTTTTAGCAGAGACGGGGTTTCACCGTGTTAGCCGGATGGTCTCGATCTCCCGACCTCGTGATCCGCCGTCTCGGCCTCCCAAAGTGCTGGAATTACAGGCTTGAGCCACCGCGCCCGGCCAACCTTCTCAGGTACTTTTCAAGGGTTATTAGGAAGGTCTGGTAGTCTCAATAATTTACATTATTTCTGGAAGTGTTAGAGGGACATAGTTTAAACTGAACTAGTTCTTTTGGACACCTTTAAGAATATGAGTGTCTTTTTATTGCAATAGCACACTTGGAAACTGTTTCCTGAAGGCCAGAACTTTACTCAAAGTTTGGGTTATTTTCATAATATTTTAGTGGGGAAAGAATGTGCCCCTGGAAAACAGAGTCAATTTCTGTATCACTCTGCTACCAGACTAGTGAAATCAAAACTATCCCTTAAAAACAGGATGGTACTTGGGGCCTCCAGAATACACTCTCTGCCCTTTCCAATTTTAACTTTTGCTAATACACCTCCATCAAAATGAGTGTGGGGGGAAAAGTAGTTTAAACAGAAATTCCCAGCTTTATTATCTTTCTGCCCAAAGTTCACGCCTGGTGAAGTTGGGTTTGTTGCTTTTTTTTTTTTTTTGAGATGAAGTCTCACTCTGTCACCCAAGCCAGAGTGCAGTGGTGTGAGCTCGGCTCACTGCAACCTCTGCCTCCTGGGTTCAAGTGATTCTTGTGCCTCAACCTCCCGAGTAGCTGGGATAACAGGTGTGCATCACCACACCTGGCTAATTTTTGTTTTCTCAGTAGAGACAGGTTTTCGCCATGTTGGCCAGGCTGGTCTCGAACTCCTGACCTCAGGTGATCTGCCCGCCTTGGCCTCCCAAAATGCTGGAATTATGGGAGTGAGCCACTGCATCTGGCTGCCTTGTAAAGTTATTACTGAGGTCATGAAGGAAAATCCATAATTTCAGGTTTGCATGAGTGCATTTAAACCAACTATAAGGCTTAAATTGAATCACTAACATGTTGCATTGTTATTTTAAGATTTGTCATTGTTATTAGTCAACATCAATTTAACTTACATGGTTCTTAGAGACAAAGATAAAAATATACAGAATATTTATTTACCTTCATGCAATTCTTTCCGCAGTTTCTCAGCATCTTCCTGTAGAACAGATTTCTGAGTATTCAAAACAGCTACATACATCTCTAGATCAGTCCTACAAGATTTCTCAGCTTCCAGATAATGATTCAGTTCTTTAACCTGAAAGAAGATGCAATTCCATTAAACTGAAATTTACAACAGTTTCTATCTTAGATACAAAATGATGGTAAGTTCTGGCTATGCCTTAAAAAAAATTGACACTTTTACATCTACATTTTACATCTACATAAATTACCATTTATAATTTTTAATTATAAAATAATATAGAAAACTGGGAAAATAACATAATTAATAGATGTCATCCATAATCATACCACCAGAATAAAATATACAATTGAGATTTCACATAACAGTTTTGTCCCTTGCTTTTCAAAAAGGTAGTTCCAATTTGTATTCCCACAGCAACATACGCATGTGTCTGTTTTAGCCGTAACAGTAACACCAGGTATGTTTTGCTTTTTTAAATTGATAATTTCTAAGTACAAAAATGATACATACACTTTAAAGTTTGCTCTCCTTTTATTTCTGGTGAGGGAATTCCAAATGTAAATTTATATATTTAATGTATAAAGACATTTTCACAGATACATATACTTATAGAAGTGAAAAAGAGGAAATTATGATGGAACAAATAACTAGTCTCACATTGTAATGACTTAAAGGCAAATGCAGAATACTTTTTAAAGTCACATCTTGCCCAGGCATGTTGGCTCATGTCTGTAATCCTAGCACTTTGGGAGGCAAAGGCGGGCAGAATGCTTGAGTTCAGGAGTTTGAGACTAGCCTGGGAAACATGGAGAAACCCTGTTTCCAAAAAATAATAATAAAACCACATCTTTTTTAAAAAATGCTTTATTTCTGTTGATCAATTAAGTGTAATACTCAAAATAGTAACGATATAGTCTAATATAGGAAAGTTATAACCAAAAAAAATTTAATTCTTCCCCAGAAAACCAAGGATTATGTCACTTTAACCTGTCACATAAATTGTCCATTCTAAATTCTAACCTTTCAGTTAACTTTCAACTTTTTCGAATGGTTATATCTAATATCACATTCAAAGTCCTTTTCACGCCCTTTATCTTCCTATTTCTTCAAACTTAAAATGGTTTCTCTGTTTTCAGTTATCTTTACTCCTAGGCCATCATGCAATAATAGTCAAAGATTTAAATGACTATTTAAGCAATCATTTGATGCTTCACTGAAGGCTGACAGTCCAGCACGTGATATGAACAAAGAATGGTAAAGTCGCAACTATCGTGAAATGCTTTCTCTGACACCTGAAGACGGGGGTAATTCAGCTGATGGTAAAGGAGTCCTTATGGCAGATTTAAAATGGTGGTATATAACCCACTAATTCTACCAGTTATTATTTTTTGGGATAAACATTTGGTTTAATTAATAATGAATTTCTAATATTTGAAAACTACTGAGGACTCTGAGTAACTTTGAATTACTTTGAGTTCCATACCCTGTAATGACCAAAACCAAAAACAAATGGACATCTACAAGAAGCCAGGGGACAAGGGTGCACACCGACCACTGAAAGTTACCTATTCGGAAAAATGTACGTGGTATTAGGATCTATGCAGGAGAAAGTACAGAGAAGCAACAAGGGCCATAAGAAACCAGAAACAGTCCCCTGGGAGTACAATTTGACAACAGTGCCTTGAATGGAAGAGTTTCACATACACCAGTCGTCGGTGAATGCGACAGATTTCTCTGGAGCACTTATAACCCGGTTAGGGTAAAATGGTGTCCCACTTTGATTTACATTTCCCCAATTTCTAGTGTGGTTGAATGTTGAATATCTTTTCACGTGCCTTGACTATTATGGTTTCCTCTTTTGTTCAATGACTGCGCATACACTTTACCTGTTTTTTTCTTTTTTTTTTTTTTTTTTTTTTTTACAGAGACCGAGTCTCGATTTGCCGTCCAGGCTGGAGGCTGGTGCTGCAATCTCAGCTCACTGCAACCTCAACCTCCAGCTCCTGGGTTCAAGCAATTCTCATGCCTCAGCCTCCCAAGTAGCTGGGATTACAGGTGTGTGCCACCTGGCTATACTTTACCTGTTTTTCTTTTTTCTTTTGAGACGGAGTCTCGCTCTGGCGCCCAGGCTGGAGTGCGGTGGCGCGATCTCGGCTCACTGCAAGCTCCGCCTCCCGGGTTCACGCCATTCTCCTCCCTCAGCCTCCCAACTAGCTGGGACTGCAGGCGCCGCCACCTCGCCTGGGTAATTTTTTGTATTTTTAGTAGAGACAGGGTTTCACCTCATTAGCCAGGATGGTCTCGATCTCCTGACCTCGTGATCCGCCCACCTCGGCCTCCCAAAGTGCTGGGATTACAGGCGCGAGCCACCGCACTTGGCCACTTTACCTGTTTTTCTTCAGAATTATTTGTCACTTGTGGACTTGGCAATTTCGAGAGTGTCTCGCTCTGTTGCTCTGGCTGGAGTGCAGTGGCACAACCTAGGCTCACTGCAGCCTCCATCTCCCGGTTTCAAGCAATTCTTGTGCCTCAGCCTCCCAAGTAGCTGGGACTACAGACACCCGCCACCACGCCTGGCTAATTTTTTGTATTTTTAGTAGAGACAGGGTTTCTCCGTGTTGCCCAGGCTGGTCTCAAACTCCTGGTCTCAAGCAATCTAAGTACTGGGATTACAGGTGTAAGCCACCGCGTCCAGCCAACTTAGCAATTTTTTTTTTTTTTTTTTTTTTGAGACGGAGTCTCGCTCTGTCGCCCAGGCTGGAGTGCAGTGGCCGGATCTCGGCTCACTGCAAGCTCCGCCTCCCGGGTTCACGCCATTCTCCTGCCTCAGCCTCCCGAGTAGCTGGGACTACAGGCGCCCGCCACCTCGCCCGGCTATTTTTTTGTATTTTTTACTAGAGACAGGGTTTCACCGGGTTAGCCAGGATGGTCTTGATCTCCTGACCTCGTGATCCGCCCGTCTCGGCCTCCCAAAGCGCTGGGATTACAGGCTTGAGCCACCGCGCCCGGCCCCAACTTAGCAATTTTTAAAATTATTTTGGATATTAATATTTTGTCAGTTAAGAGGTACTGGTATCTTCTTATAGTCTGTAGCTTCTCTTTTCAACTTTTTGTATTAATAGTATCTTTTAACAAAGAACTTTATAATGTAGCTAAACTTGCCAGTTTTCCTTTCTCAGTCAATATTTTTGTCTTAAGAAACCTTGGGGCCGGGCGTGGTGGCTCAAGCCTGTAATCCCAGCACTTTTGGAGGCCAAGGTGAGTGGATCACATGAGGTCAGGGATTCGAGATCAGCCTGGCCAACATGACAAAACCCCGTTTCCACTAAAAATACAAAAATTAGCCAGGTGCAGTGGCCCAGGCCTGTAATCCCAGCTACTCGAGAGGCTGAGGCAGGAGAATTGCTTGAAACTGGGAGGCGGAGGTTGCAGTGAGCCAAGATTGTGCCACCGCACTTCAGCCTAGGTGACACAGCAAGACTGACTCAAAAAAAAAAAAAAAAAAAAAGAAATCTTTTTGAAGACAAGGTGGAGAGAGTGGGCCTACCTATCAGATAGTACGACTTGCAGTCAAGCTACTATAATTAAGATAGTTTGTTACTGGTTTAGGAATAAACCTGTCGCCCAGGCTGGAGTGCAGTGGCGCAACCTCGGCTCACTACAACTTCCACCTCCTGGGTTCAAGTGATTCTGGTGCCTCAGTCCCAAGTAGCTGGGACTTCAGGCAAGCACCACCATATCTGGCTAATTTTTGTATTTCTTGTAAAGAAAGAGTTTCCCTATGTTGTGCTGGCTGGTCGTGAACTCCTAAGCTCAAGCAATCTGCCCACCTCAGCCTCCCAAAGTGCTGGAATTACAGGCATGAGCCACCGCGCATGGTCAGATAATAACTTATGTATTATTATTATTATTTTTTTTGAGACAGTTTCACTTGTGGCCCAGGGTGGAGTGCAATGGTGAGATCTTGGCTCCCTGCAACCTCCACCTCCCAGGTTCAAGCGGTTCTCCTGCCTCAGCCTCCCAAGTAGTTGGAATTACAGGCAGATGCCTGGCTAATTTTTGTATTTTTAGTAGATGCAGGGTTTGTTTTTTTTTTTTTTTTTTTTTTGAGACAGAGTCTCGCTCTGTCGCCCAGGCTGGAGTGCAGTGGCAGAATTTCGGCTCACTGCAAGCTCTGCCTCATGAGTTCATGCCATTCTACTGCCTCAGCCTCCCGAGTAGCTGGGACTACAGGCGCCCGCCACCATACCCAGCTACTTTTTTGTATTTTTAGTAGAGACGGGGTTTCACCATGTTAGCCAGGATGGTCTCGATCTCCTGACCTCGTGATCCACCGGCCTCGGCCTCCCAAAGTGCTGGGATTACAGGCGTTAGCCACCATGCCCAGCCAAGTAGAGGCAGGGTTTCACCACATTGGCCAGGCTGGTCCCAAATTCCTGACCTCAGGTGATCCACCTGCCTTGGCCTCCCAAAGTGCTGGCATGGCAGGTGTGAGCCACCGCACCCAGCCAAAAAGGGTATTTTTTAACAATCCATTCTTCCCCCACTGATCTGTAATGCCACCTGTCATATATCAAATTTACACATATATATAGGTCTATTTCTGGGCTGTTTTATTGATCCATCTGTTTATCCCTAAACCAGTAACAAACTATCTTAATTATAGTAGCTTTACTGAGGTCCTACTATCTGACAGGTAGGCCAAGTCTCCTCATCTTGTCTTCAAAATTTTGCTAAGTATATTTCTGTTCCTTTATTTCTCTATATGAAGTCTACTTCTAGAACTGAATTAATCAAGCTCCTTATTAAACCCTGTTGAATTCTGAGTAAAATTTAAAAATTTGGGGATACAAATGGAGGTTTTTTTTTTTTTTTTTTTTTGAGACGCAGTCTCACTTTATCGCCCAGGCTAGAGTGCAGTGGCACGACCTCAGCTCACTGCAACCTCTGCCTCCTGGGTTAAAGCAATTCTCCTGCCTCAGCCTCCTGAGTAGCTGGGCTTCCGCCACCATGCTCAGCTAATTTTTGTACTCTTAATAAAGAGACCGGGTTTTGCCATGTTGGCCAGGCTTGTCTCGAACTCCTAACCTCAGGTGATCCCCCTACCTTGGCCTCCCAAAAGTGCTAGGATTACAGGTGTGAGCCACCGCACCTGGCCCAATGCTCTATCTTTTCATTCAGGAAAATACACAGATTCAGGTCCTCATTTATGATGTAGTCTCTAAGGACCCTGCCCATCTTTGTTTAGCTATATTGGTAGGTAACTAGTTTTTTGTTTTTGTTTTCTGTTTTTAACTCTTGTGAATAGGATCAATCTTTCTCCCCCCACTGCATTCTTCAACTGGATATCACTGGGGCATAGAAAAACAACTATTTTTGTACGTTGATTTTGTTAGAACTTTCAAATTGTTGAACTCTTATTAGGTCTAACTATCTGTTGTACATTCCCTGGTTTCTTTATATAGACAATTGAATCAGTCTCGTTGCTTTCTTTCCAGTTCTTATACCTCATTTCTGAATTATTGGGCATGGGTCTGCCCCAGAATGTTCCCATCATTAACGGTAAGGCTGCTAAATATTCATCCTTAACTATGTTTGCTAAAGGTTTGATTAATAGCCCCTTACTAAGTTATTGTGGTTAAATTTCTCAAATACTTTTCTGAATCCAAGACGAATATGCTGTTCTTCTCCAATCATTTTATGTGTACATTGCAATAATAGATTTTCTGATAAATTTCTGGGAATACACCCTACTTGGTCATGATGTATTTCTCCCTGTTTATTTTAGCTACAATGTTGAAAATTTTAGCTTCTGTATTCCTGAGACAGATCGGTAATTTTTTCTCATACTACCTTTCTATGTGTTTGTTCACTTGTAGTGAAGATCTACTAGTCTCATAAAATGATTTGGAGAGCTTTCTCTCTGTTTGTATTCCCTGAGATTTTGTAAAATATAAGAATTTGCTCTTTCCAGAAAGTCTGGAAAAACTTACCTGTAAAACCAACAGTTTAATGTCTTTCAGTGAGAGGAGACAACAGACAGTAAGATTTTTTACTCTAGATCCACTTTCTTTGATAATTACTGACTACCTTAGCTTTCCTGTTTTGGAACAATTTTGGCTAATTATCTTTTATTAGAAATTTTTTTCATCTGTTTTCAAATTTATTTGTGTGACATTGTTTATAGTACTTGTTATTTTTAAATTTCTACTGACTTGTAGTTATGTCCTCTGTTTTTTTTGTTTTTAAGTCAGGCTCCCTTGCCCAGGCTGGTGTGCAGTGGTGCCATCATGGCTCACCACAGCCTCAACCCCTTGAGCTCAAGTGATCCTTCTGCCTCAGCCTCACACTGCTAGGATTACAGGCATGAGCCTCCCCACTTGGCCTCACTTCTGATTTCTCTTTTTTTGTTTTCATTTTTTCTGATCAGTCTTACTAGAGATTTGTGTATAGGTTTTCCATTTCTTCATTATACGGATAGTCTCTATTGTTCTTTTGCTTTTCTATTTCACAAATTTATATTATTTATATTATTCATTTCCATTTATTTTCAGTTTTTTTTTTTTTTTTTTTTTTTTTTTTTTTTTTTTTTTTTTTTTTTACATTATTTTATATTATTCATTTCATCATTTGCCTTTTTTTTTTTTTTTTTTGAGATAGAGTTTATTCATGCCTCAGGCTGATAAATGGCAATTCTCCTGCCTCAGCCTCCCGTAGCTGGGACTATGGCGCCCGCCACCATGCCCAGCCAATGTACTGCATTTTTAGCAGAGATGGGGTTTCACTATGTTGGCCAGGCTGGTCCCGAAGTCTCCTGACCTCAGGCAATCCACCCACCTAAGACTCCCAAAGTGCTGGGATTACAGGCATGAGCCACCGTGCCTGGCTCAATTTGTACTTTTTTTTTTTTTTTTTTAAGATCTGGCATTATTCACATCATTCTAAATATTTTGTAATTACTTTTTCCATGAGTATTTTTTTCATGTCCAGGCATTTTAACTATCATTTTAATGTAAATAACTGAATAACCCATAGTTACAGAATTGGGTCTGTGTAACCTCAATTCTAAGATAATGTATCTAAAAGTAACTATACCTTGTCCCAGATACTATCCTAAATGTTTATAGGAATTAATTTATATGTTCCTCATAATAGCCACATGGTGACTATTAAGGTGGGCTTATTATCCCCATTTCACAGTTGAGAAAATCAAAGCACAGTATGATTAAGTAATTTACCCAAGGTAACCCAGGCTACCAAATGCTGAGCTTTTAACTATTATGTTCTAGTACTGTATGTGATACCATCTTGTTCTTGGATACCAAGTTCTGTGTGTCAACTACAACTAAATTATTAACCTGATAGTTCAAAATGTCTATAGCTCTACTAATAATTTTTTCTGATTATATTCTCTAAAGGTCAATTTTAATCTGCTACTGTATTTGTGAAAGTCAGTTTCTCCTTGTAATTGTCATTATTAATTCATGCATTTCATGACTATGTAAAGTGCATTCAAGTTCATGACTATTATATCTTACTTATGAACTGTTTTTTAGATAGGATCCTTCTTTATCTCTATTAGTGGCTTTTCCCCCTTATCCTATCTTTGTGATACTACACTCGCTATAGCAGCTTTCTTTTGGTTCGAATTTACATGGTATATATTTATCCCTTTATTTTCAATCTTTTCTCTTTTCTTTTCTTTTTTTTTTTTGAGATGGAGTCTCATCTGTTGCCCACGCTGGAGTGCAGTGGTGCGGTCTCAGCTCACTGCAACAACCTCCACCTCCCGGGTTCAAGAAATTCTCCTGCCTCAGCCTCCCAAACAGAAGGGACTACAGGCGTGTGCCACCATGCCTGGCTAATTTTTGTATTTTTAGTAGAGACAGGGTTTCACTATGTTGGCCAGGCTGGTCTCGAACTCCTGACCTCAGGTGATCCACCCACCTCGGCCTCCCAAAGTGCTGGGATTACAGGCATGAGCCACCGTGCCTGGCCTTCTTTTAAGACAGAGTCTCACTCTATCATCTAGCTGGAGTGCAGCGGCATGATCATGGCTCACTGCAACCTCAACCTTTTGGGTTGAAGTAATTCTCCCATCTCAGCCTCTCAAGTAGATGGGACCACAGGCTCACACCACTATGCCTGGCTAATATTTTCAATCTTACCTTGTAGTTTGATTTTAAGCATAGCTCTTACAAGTAATATAAAGTTAGATTTTTACAATCCAATGTGATAATCTCTTTTAAACATAGGTATCACTTTACATTTACCAAGACTATTGATAAATTCTCATTTATTTTTATATTGTTTTTGCTTATTCTCTCATTGCTTCTTTTGTTCCTACTTTCTTCCCTTTTTTTGGGTGTGGGGAACAGGGTCTCACTCAGTCACCCAGTCTGGAGTGCCAGTTCACTGTAGTCTCAAACTCCTGGGCTCAAGTAATCCTCCCATCTCAGTCTCCAAGTAGGTGGGACAACAGGCATGCACCACCACGTCTGGCTAATTTTCTGAAAATTTTTTTGTAGAGACGGGAGTCTCACTATGCTGCCCAGGCTGGTCTTTAATTCCTGGGTGCAAGCAATTCTCCTGCCTTGGCTTCCTGGAGTATTGGGATTACAGGTGTGAGCCACAACACCTGGCCTGTTCCTACTTTAATTCTTTTGCTGTGTCTTTATGGCCAACAAATTCGGCAATACCATAGCTACATTATCTCTAGAACATCAATGCTAGAGCTGCCATCAGAAAACAAGGTCAACTTTGAACAGTTTATTTTCCTTAATAGGAAAATGAATGAGACGGGGTCTCATTTTCTTAAGAAAATGAACACTAACTTTGTGACAAAGCAGCCACTTGTGATAAAACACCATTGTTGTGATTATTTTCAATGTCCATAAGAGCAAAACCATCTCAAAGCAGTTTTTTGATTTAAATTTATTTATTACTATTTTTTTTTGAGATGGAATTTCACTCCTGTTGTCCAGGCTAGAGCACAATGGCGCAATCTCGGCTCACTGCAACCTCCGTCACCCAGCTTCAAGTGATTCTCCTGCCTCAGTCTCCTGAGGCTGGGAGTAGCCGGGACTACAGTCATGGGCCACCATGCCCGGCTAATTTGTATTTTTAGTGGAGATGGGGTTTCTCCATGTTGGTCAGACCGGTCTCGAACTCCCAACCTCAGGTGATCCGCCCGCCTCAGCCTCCCAAAGTGCTGGGATTACAGGCGTGAGCCACCGTGCGTGCGTGGCAGTTTTTTGCATTGTAAATAAAGATTCTTAAGATGCATAGTCTAAATTACAGGGTTTTTTTCCCTATTACTGATTCTAATTTTGTTCATGGTACTGGGGCAGAATCTTGGGTTTCAAGCAAATGGATTACAATGTTTCATAACCTTTGAGGCCTCCAGCTCTTTAATTTTGTCTTCAGCCTCTGTCAGTTTATCCTTCAAAGCTGCAATTTCCTTTTCCATTGGCATCACAACAGACCGAAGTTTCTCAGCATCTTCTTGGGCCTATGGTTAAAAAGAATTAAATGCCACGACTTATTCATTTACTGCTTTCCTAAGAAACTCTAACCCTTCCATTTGCTAAAACTTAGTATATAACAAGTAACTCGACCAGGCACTATATTAACATTCACAAAACTGAATTAATGTCTAACTTTCAAATAGTGCATTACTTTGAATGTCAAGGTATAATTGAAGTTTTCCCAAATATTCTATTTAGAATTTGGGAATGGGAAAACTGATTGACTAAAACAAATTTGACTTCTTAATCAATTAAGAAAATATCCAATATATAAAAGGAAATACACATAATAAATTTTTTTTTTTTTTTTGAGACGGAGTCTCGCTCTGTCGCCCAGGCTGGAGTGCAGTGGCGTGATCTCGGGTCACGCAAGCTCCGTCTCCCAGGTTCACGCTATTCTCCTACCTCAGCCTCCTGAGTACCTGGGACTATAGGCACCCACCACCACACCCGGCTAAATTTTTTTATTTTTATTTTTAGTAGAGACAGGGTTTCAGTGTTAGCCAGGATGGTCTCGATCTCCTGACCTCATGATCCGCCTGCCTTGGCCTCCCAAAGTGCTGGGATTACAGGCGTGAGCTACCGCGCCCAGCCCATAATGATTTTTTAAACTCCTGGGTTACTAAGTTCATGAGACAATAATTTTAAACACCCAAAATAGAATAATGTGTTTTCCAAAATGTTAGAAAATTATGTTGCTATAAAAAGGCCTCCATCCAATTAAACAGAGTACTTTAAATATTATTTTACTTTTACCATCTAAATGAAACAAACCCAAAGAATGACCCTTAAAACTATCATTGTTTTCCAAAGTCCATTCTCAAAAACATGGATTAAAAGGAACCAACTTACATAAACTAGTAAACTGGTGAGAAAACGAATTTTCATTTCTTATATATACATACACTTACACGTAGAGAAACAAAGGCAGGCTCAAAAAGTTGGCTTTTTTCCTTCTAGAGAAACTGAAAACCTAATTCACTGGATTTAAATGGGTGCAAACTTATCCTAAGTTGTGCACGATAGGGAAAAATATCATAAATGCCCAAACGTGAGGTGGATTTTCCCCAAAACACATATCCCTCAAAAAACAGGGGTTCAGATTCACTTTGTTTTCAGGTCCTTACAAAGTCATCATTTATTTTATTTTGAATTAAATACTACTTGGAAAAGACAAGTTAAAATATCTCAGTCAAGGCTAGTTTAGGATGCTGATAAAGGTCATCTGATAAAAAACAACAGGGAAAAAGAAGGAGGGAGGAAGCAAAGAATTGATCACAAATCAAGTTATTTATTAATATAAATATGACTTCACAATTCCAAGTGCTGAATGTCATCATAAACAAAACCTTTAAAGAGCACTTTTAAAAATGACAGAAAGGTCATTAAAAACAAGGAAAATCTGAGAAACTGTCACAGCCAAGAGGAACCTAAGGAGACATGACTAAATGCAATGTGGTATCCTGGATGGGATCCTAGAACAGAAAAAAAAAGGACATTAGGTAAAAACTAATGCAATCTGAATACAAAAATGGACTTAGGTAATAAGAAAAAATTGATACAGGCTTATTAGCTGTGACAAATATACCATGCTAATGTAAAACATTAACAACAGGGGAAACTAGGCATGGAGTATATAGGAACTATCTTCCCAATTTTTCAGATAATCAAAAACAGTTCTAAAAAAATAAAAGATTATGGAAATCATGAATACACATACATTTGAAGAATGAACTAAGAATTAAGAACCAAAAAGGCATGATAAATTCAATTGAAAAGAAAAATCAATTACTAATTATTTTATATAATGTGATTTTAAATACGTGTATGCATATAAAATAATGTAAAAGTTCATTTAATTAAACTGGCTCAAAAGTTTTTAATATTTTCTCAATGATAAAATGTCTCACTTTACATTTAGTTGCCTTATGTTCAAGTATTATATGGTATTATGTTCAAGCATATGTGGTACATAACGTGTGGTACACAGAAACCAAAGGACACTGAGAAAGAAGGAAAACTAACATCTATTCTAGAACTTCGCTTTAGACACAGTCATCAAGCAACAACACCCACTCAACTGATACTTAGGAATTCAAGCACCTATCTCCTAGACACTATGCTAAGCATTTAGGATATACAAATAAAAAACAAGCACATGTTCCCCCGAATCTATTAAAAAAAAAAGAGAGAGAGAGAGAAAGAGAAACTCTTGCCTTCACAGAGCTTACATTTTAGCAAGGAAAGAACGACAGTAAACAATAAACACAACAGGTGAACTCTGTATAGTATAAGGAAATACGTGCTATGGAAAGAGAAAAACTAGAGAAGGATAAGGGAGACGAGAGTAGTGACAGGCGGCAGAGGGAAGTTGGCAGGCTGCAATGTTAAATGGCAGGTGGTCGGGATAAACCCCATGAAGTAGTGACATTTGATCAAAACTTTGAAGAAGATGACAGAGTTAGCCACAGATACAACATTATTTAGTACTATGTTTAGGTCTGTTTCCAAATAATTACTCTCACAGGAAATATCAAAGTACTTCTATTACTTTCTATTACACAACAATATTAGAGCACTTTGCATTTGAATTCAAATATTTCTACAGATGAACACATTCCTTCATACCTTTTTCATTTCATTTTCTAAATTTTCCTCCTCTTGACCTTCAGACAGCCTTCTTCTTAAGTCAGCTATTTCCCTCTCTGCGGATTCTCTATACTGTGCCCACTGTGCTCGCTCCTGCTCCAGCCTAAGGTGGAACTGGTGCTCATAGTCACGAACTGTTTCTACAAAACATCACCACATATTTCACATCTAAGCATTATGAAAAAAAAAAAATAACCCGGTACACGAAAATTTTTAAAGTTATATAAAAAGCTTACGTCTAATTTCTGGAAAAGGTTTAATTCACTAAAAAACAAAACAAACTAGTTGTAGTTCTTATGATATACAGAAATAAAGGCTTTAAATCATCACTTCTAATCTTCACAATAAACCTGTGTCATGTATTATTTTACGAATGAGAGAATCTTAGGAAAGGTTAACTAGTCTGGCCATTGTTTCACGCCCAGAATGAAGCAAAGCTAGAATTCAAACTTAAGGCCAACTCCAAAATCTATGTTTTTAGACATATACTACGGTTCCCAAGGCAAACATAATGTGTCGCCCCAATCCCACTACCTGGAAGTGTGAGAAAAGGGATGTATTTCTGGAATAGTTTACTAAAATCCAAGATTGTAACTTGAGGCAAACTCTATAAGCTCTTTAAAAAATGGCTTTCTCTTTGATATAATCCTAAAATATGGCCGGGCTTAGTGGCTCACACACACCTGTAATCCTAGCACTGTGGGAGGCAGACAGGAGGATCACTTGAAGCCAGGATTTCAAAACCAGCCTGGCTGACGTGGCAAAACCCCATTTCTACCAAAGAGAGAAAAATTGCCAGGTGCGGTGGCTCATGCCTGTAATCCCAGCACTGTGGGAGGCCAAGGCAGGTGGATCACCTGAGGTGAGGAGTTCGAGACCATTTTGGTCAATGAGGTGAAACCCCGTCTCTACTAAAATTACAAAAATCAGCCAGGCGTGGTGGTGGGCACCTGTAATCCCAGCTACTGGGGAGGCTGAGGCAGGAGGATCACTTGAACCTGGGAGGTGGAGGTTGCAGTGAGCCGAGATCGTGCTACTGCACTCCAGCCTGGGTGACAGAGTGAGACTCTGTCTCAAAAAAAAGAGAAGGGAAGGGAAAGTGAAAGGGAAAAGAAAAGATTATCTGGGTGTGATGGCATATGTCTGTGGTCCCAGCTACTTGGGAGGCAGAGGCACGACAACTGCCTGAACCCAGGAGGCGGAGGTTGCAGTGAGCCGAGATCGCGCCGCTGCACTCAAGCCTAAGTATCTCAAAAAAAAGAAAAAAAAAAAAAAATTATGTGACAGACCCTGTTGATTGCCCATTAATTGCCACTCCTTCGTCCTTACTGGTAAGACTCCAATTTTGTTTAGGAAGTCAGTGTGCACAATTTTAAAACTACATTGTCCAGTTTCCCTTGTAGTTATGAGTGACCACACACTTAGTCAACAAAGTGAGGGGGATATGCTGGGTAGTTCTAGAAAACTTTTGCTTTTCTGATGCAGACTGAAGGAGAAGCAGCTATTTTTCAGCTGAGGCAAAGATTAAGTTGAAAACCATATGCTAAGGATGAAAGAACAGAAGGGCTGAAGGAGTCTGAGGCATTGTTGACATCATGGAACCAACGCAACCAGGCCTGGGGTATCTACCTTTGGATTTCGTGTTCTGGGAGAAAAACGAACTCCTATTTTGGTAAATCACTGTAGTCGGTTTGTTACATGAAGCCTAGAGTAATCTCTAGGTCATAGCTACATACTCAGAAATAGGGCTAGCTTCACCTGCCTTTTTATAAAGAGCACTAAGGCAAAAGTGACACACAATTGCAAACACGGTGGAAAAAGTCATCACTATTTCACATTTAGAATATTAACTAATCCAGGCCGGGCGCGGTGGCTCACACCTGTAATCCCAGCACTTTGGGAGGCCAAGGCAGGCAGATCACGAGGTCAGGAGATCAAGACCATCCTGGCTAACACGGTGAAACCCCGTCTCTACTAAAAATACAAAAAATTAGCCGGGCGTGGTGGCATGTGCCTGTAGTCCCAGTTACTTGGGAGACTGAGGCTAGAGAATCGCTTGAACCAGGAAGGCAGAGGTTGCAGTGAGCCGAGATCGTGCCATTGCACTCCAGACTGGGCGACAGAGTGAAACTCCGTCTCAAAAAATAAAAAAGAAAACAGAATATTAACTAATTCCAGGAACCCAAAGATTCAGTGACAACTTACTTTGTTTCATCATCATCATCTCAGAAATTTGGGAAGTAATTAAGCACTAGTGCCAAAAGGAGTCTGAGACTAAACTATGTCTCTTCTTTTAGATGAAAGGTGGCAGCCCATGAAGCCTACCCTAGCCTAGGCCATTCTACCCAACACAGTGCAGTGAAGATTTCATATACAAAGTTTCTTAAAAAATCTAAGCCAGGCCGGGTGCGGTGGCTCACACCTGTAATCCCAGGACTTCGGGAGGCCGAGGCAGGTGGATCACCTGAGGTCAGGAGTTCAAGACCAGCCGGACCAACATGGAGAAACCCTGTCTCTACTAAAAATACAAAATTAGCCAGGTGTGGTGGCACATGCTTGTAATCTCAGCTACTCGGAAGGCTGACGCAGGAGAATCGCTTGAGCCCGGGAAGCGGAGGTTGCAATGAGTAGAGTGAGCTGAGTGCACCCCAGGCTGGGCAACAGAGCGAGATTCCATCTCAAAAAAAAAAAAAAATTCTAAATCATATGGCCAAACTACACTGGAAGGGCAATAATTAGCTGAAGCTCATCAATGTAAACAGTTACTTTACCCTTTGCATGGCAGCTCTCTCTACTCCAGCACATTCCCTGTGCCCATACAGCTTTATTCTTTGACATTACTAGCCTGCCTCCTAGAAGAAATCGACTTTTAAGCCTTACAAAGTACAGTCCTCATTTAATGCATTATCTCTATAACATTCCTATTATAACTCTCCATTATTAAGTTAGATAGGACTGATATACCCATTTATGTTACCAGTGACTTCTCTTTTACCTGAAAGTATATCTTGATGATGACAGTACATGAAACCACAAATGAAACTCTGGATATATTTTAAGATTCTCTGAAAATATTCTCAATCATCAGAATCGGGTACCTTAGAAAATCAAAAAATTGATCTGTTTGTCTTTACCTTTCATAACAGCCTGAAGTGAAGCAACTTCTTCTCTCCACTGCCTTTTCACTTCATCTATAGCTTCTTGCTTGGTGTTCTCAGAGACTGTGGCAATCGCCTTAATATTCTCCATCTCTGCTTGAGCTTCCCACAGCTGGGTTCGAAGGTGTCCCAAATCATCTTGTGCAGCTTGTAATACTGCATTTTGCCTCTTCAGATCCTCTGGAGAGAAAAGTAAAAGACAGTCCATTAATGTTCACTTTCATCAGACTGGCATTCCGATAAAGAAATAAGGTATTAAATTTAAAAATATAAACATACAAAATGACACCCTTTTAATAGAGATGAGACTTAAGGTATGCTGGGTATCACAAACCAATTGCTACTATCTATCTAATGATCCAGTGGTTACGGTCATGGTTTTAAAGCTCAATTTACACATTCCCATCTGCTGACTAAATGAACTTGGTCATGTTATTTAATCTCTCTGGCCTATGTTTCCACATCTGCAAAATGGAAGTTAAAAATAGCCACCTCACAAGGTTGTTGTAATGATAATTTATTGGAAATGCTAATTAGTACAGTACCTTCTACAAACATTCAAAAGATGTTTAATAAAAGAGAAAAGAAAGTCAGAGCACATCGCAGTCACTAGACCTATGTTCTTTAAAGTTAGCATTAATTTCTCAGCTCCTTCTTACTATCTTTTAAATACTAAGTTGATGTAATGTGCCTCCTACATGGTTTAAGCCCAGGCAGAACATATGTTTGGCCAAACTGACTTCAAAAAAAAGATGAACTTACCAACAGTACATGGGGATGTGTGATTGTTTTCCCATACCCTTAACAACAGCCACTATTTTCCATCTTTTAAAAATTCTTGTAAATATCATGGGTAGCAAATGGTCATTTTAATCTACATTTTCCCTGTTAATAAGGAGTTTGAGCATCTTTTCATATATTTACTACTGACTCATTTCCTGTTTGGTGATATTCTTTACATTTGCTTCTAATGAATGATCTTCCTTCTGATCTGTAAGAGCATTTTATATATTCTGGATATTAAATCTGTCTTCTCTTACAAAACTTTTCCCAGTCAGCTGCTGTCTTTCTTAAAAAAAAAAAAAAAAAAAAAAGTTAAGAGATAGGGTCTCAATTGTCGCCCAGGCTGGAGTGCAGTGACGCAATAATAGACCACTATAACCTCAAATTCCTGGGCTCAAGTGATCCTCCCACCTCAGCCTCCTGAGTAGCTAGGACTGCAGGCCTGCACCATCATGCCCAGCTAATTTTCGAAATTTCTTGTAGAGACAGTTTCACTATGCTGCCCAGGCTGGTCTTGGCCTCCTGGGCTGAAATGATCCTCCCGCCTCAGCCTCCCAAAGCGCTGGGATTATAGGTGTGAGACACCGCGCCCAGCCTTACCTTATATCTTTTAGCATCTCAACTTGTAAGGAATTTATGAAAAAAAAATTGTTCATCTTTGTAAAATTATCAATTTCCTCTCCAAAGCACAATAACTAAGCCAAACTGACCAAGAAAATAAACTGATTTAAGATCTAACCCTACCACTAACCAGCTGATGACTTTAAGGAAATCACAAGACTCGCAAGCCTCGGTTTCCTCATGAAGACAGTGGCAATACTTTCTTGCATAAATTTCTAACTACTTACAAAAATCCAATAGTAAAATAAAAGAACTTTTAAACGTTGTGAAACATTCATTGTTATCAAACAATCACAGGAGTTAATGATTTGGTAGTCCAAGTTAGAGAGGGAAATACCTAGTCATGCTAAGTTGTTTTGAAATCTTTACTCTCTCAACATCAGTTTCCATCGCTCTTAAAATACTCTGAATCTCTAGCCAAAGACAGTTTTAAGAACATTAATTACAAAAAGGAATTGTGTAAAGTCGCTTAAAGACAGACACCTAGGAAGTCGTGGTAGGCATGCAACTAGGACTAACCCAGAAAGTTATAAACACATGAAACCACAAAGGAAAGGTTTATGTGTGTCAACTCTATATTCTGAATGTCGAACTGTTTCATAATAAAAAGTGAAAAAAAGAAAAAGCATTATTTCTGGGATATTTTATTCATTTTTGGGTACTACAATTTTTTCAAGGCTCAAGTTTATATACTTAACAGGTCCTCGTGCTAATTACCTCTGGTACTTTTGATTTGTTGGAGATTACCCAGAGGTATTCACTACCATGCTGTTATTATGAAAAGAAAAACTATAAACAAATACCAAACCTAAATATCCATTTTTGGCACTTAAAAGTGAAATAGAGTCTGGAGGAAGACTTGGTCAACACTAACTTTAGTTATTATATATGAATATATATTATATATGAATGTTATATTTATATAAATAATACAAAAAAACAGGAGACGAACAGAAGTTTAAAATAAAGTTAGAAAATCTTAATTTTTTGTAGTAAAGCATTTCAAACATGTTTGTCAATAGTAGGAGTTCCAACATTCGTTTATTGCTTTTACTGCTGTATGTGTAATTATAAAAATTTTCAAGCATATTCAGAAGTTGAGGGTATAGTACAACAATCCTTCATACAGCTTTCACCAAGACTCAACAGGAATCAAGATTTGCCAGGCTTATTTATTTATTTTTTGAGACAGAGTCTCACTCTTGTTGCCCAGGCTAGAGTCTAGTGGCACGATCTTGGTTCACTGCAACCTCTGCCTTCTGGGTTCAACAGATTCTCCTGCTTCAACCTCCCGAGTAGCTGGGATTACAGGCACGTGCCACCACGTACGGCTAATTTTTGTATTTTTAGTAGAGACGGGGTTTCGCCTTGTTGGCCAGGCTTGTCTTGAACTCCTGACCTCAGGTGATCCACCCGCCTCAGCTTCCCAAAGTGCTAGGATTACAGGCGTGAGCCACCACACCCAGCCTGCCATGTTTATTTAAACTATCCTTTTTCTTTCCTGTAGTATTTTAAAGCCCCAGAAATATTACATTATCTAACGTACTATACAGATGCATCTCTAAAAATATGGAGAGTTTCTTATATAAACAAAGTGCCACTGTCACACAAAACAAAACTAACGACTGCCTGATAACTAATACCAAATCTCTGGTAAAACTTCTACAATTGAACAAAAAAAAAAAAAAAAAGAAAGTCTTTCTGAATATTTTAAGATCAAAACAAGATTCGGCCGGGCGCGGTGGCTCAAGCCTGTAATCCCAGTACTTTGGGAGGCCGAGACGGGCGGATCACGAGGTCAGGAGATCGAGACCATCCTGGCTAACACAGTGAAACCCCGTCTCTACTAAAAAATACAAAAAACTAGCCGGGCGAGGTGGCGGGCGCCTGTAGTCGCAGCTACTCGGGAGGCTGAGGCAGGAGAATGGCGTAAACCCGGGAGGCGAAGCTTGCAGTGAGCTGAGATCCGGCCACTGCACTCTATCCTGGGCGACAGAGCGAGACTCCGTCTCAAAAAAAAAAAAAAAGATTCAAGTACTTCATTTGGTTACACTAATGATTTTTTTTTGAGACAAAGTCTCACTCTGTCGCCTAGGCTGGAGTGCAGTGGCGCAACCTCTGCCACCCGGGTTCAAGCGATTCTCCTGCCTCAGCCTCCCGAGTAGCTGGGATTACACCTGCCACCACACCTTGCTAATTTTTGTAGTTTTAGTAGAGACAGGGTTTCACCATCTTGGCCAGGCTGGTCTTGAACTCCTGACCTTGTGTTCCACCTGCCTCGGATTCCAAAGTGCTGGGATTACAGGCATGAGTCACTGCGCCCGGCCATTTTTTTTTTTTTTTTTAAGACAGCGTCTCACTCTATCGCCCAGGCTGGAGTGCAGTGATGCAACCTCGGCTCACTGCAATCTCTGGCTCCCAGGCTGAAGTGATCCTCTCACCTCAGCTTCCCACGTAGCTGGGACTATAGGCATGTGCCAATACACCCTGCTGATTTTTGTATTTTTTGTAGACAGGGGGTTTTGTCATGCTGCCCAGGCTAGTCTCCAACTCCTAGGCTCAAGTGATGTGCCCTTACAGGCATGAGTCACTAGGCCTGGCCTATACTAATGCTATAAAGCATTATAAACTACTTGAAGAACAGAAACAATACAAAAAGTTCTGTAATGGGCACCTATTACCTATCACCTAGACCCATCATTTTTAATATTTTGCTACATCTCCTTCTTTTTAACTTCAGGAAACAAAACACCACAAAGACACTACCTTCCCCTGAGGTAACAACCGTCAGGAATTTGGGTTTATCATTACAGTGCATATATGTTACACCTTTACTTATGCTGCAGTTTCAGGTTCTCAGCAAAACTGAGCAGAAAACAGAGGTTTCCCATATGCCCCACAGCCCTGTACATCCACACTCCTCTACAACAGGCACCCTGTACCACAGTAGCACATTTGATACAACTGATGAACCTACACTGGTACATTATCATCACCCACTTAGTTTACACTAGGGTTCACTCTTAATGTGGTACATTCTATGGGTTTTAACAAACATATAACGACATGTTCCCACCACCATAGTATCACATAAAATAATTTCACTGCTCTAAAAATTCTCTGTACTCTACGTATTCACCCCCTCTTCCTCCTACCCCTGGCAACCACTGATCTTTTTTTGTTTTGTTTCCATAGTTTTGCCTCTTCCAGAATGTCATATGCTTGGAATCATACAGTATATGGCCTTTTCAAATTGCCTTCTTTTACTTAGTAGTATGCATTAACTTTCCTCCATGTCTGTTCATGACTTAATAGCTCATTTCTCTTGAGCATGGAATAATAGTCCACTGTCTCAATATACCAGTTTATTCATCCATTAACCTACTGAAGGACATCTTCCATGCTTCCAAGTTGTGACAATTATGAATAAAGCTGTTATATTTGTGCAAGTTTTGGGGACAAAGGCTTCTCAAGTCATTTAATTACATACCAAGGAGCATGACTGCTGAATCAAAAGGCAAGAGTATGCCTAGTTTTGTAAGAAACCACTAAACTATATCCCAAAGTGGCTACATCATTTTGCATTCCCACCAGCAATGAATGTTGTTGTTGCTCCACATCCTCACCAGCATTTTTCGGTATTGGCAGTATTTTGGATTTAGGCCATTCTCATAGTCTAATAATCTTTTCATCTACTCACTTGACATCTGTATATATTCTTTAGTGAGGTGTTTGGGTCTTTTGCCCATTTGGTAATGGGGCTGTTCATTTTGTTA